TTTGATGTGCGGTCACAACCATACAAAAGTACTAGAATGGAAGTCGCGGTGGCTGAGCGGATTAGGCGTCTGACTTTGTGTGCTGGCGATTAGGTGCCTGACTCTGAGGGTGGGGGGCCGAATCCCGGATGGAAAGAAAGTGTAATCCCAGATATAACATATGTTACATCAACGTTGACTGTCACCTCTCTACCAAACTTCAACGTTGACAGTCAGCTCTCTACCAAACATCAACGCTGACAGTAACCTCTCTACCAAACATCAACGTTGACAGTCACCTCTCTACCAAACATCAATGCTTGCCGTCAACCCCCTACCAAACATTAATGTTTTTAGTCATCAATCATCCAAACATCGGCGTTTGGCGTCAACTCTCTACCAAACATCAACGTTTACAGTCACTATTCTACCAAACATTTTGACGTTTGGCGTCAACTCTCTACTAAACATTACGTTTACAGTCACCAATCAACCAAACATCTACGTTTACAGTCACCTCTCTACCAAATATCAGCATATGCTGTCACCTCTACCAAACATCGGTGTTTGTCGTCACCAGTCTACCAAATATCAACGCTTACAGTCAACACTCTACCAAACATCAACGTTTGACTGTCACCTCTCTACCAAACATCGGCGTTTGCCGTCACCACTCGTCGTCAATAAACGACTTCTGGAAGACATACCTGTGAAGGTAACTGCCAACACGGTGATGACTATCAGTCTGAAACAAACAAGGATTCCAGTAGCTGGTCAGGCTTGAGGACTTTCTGACTACTGTCGCTGAAGTCTGGTACAAAAAGGAAGGAGTTGTCGGGGCCTACTTGCGTTGTAGTCGGTGTTCCCGTTTCTGCACGTGTTTGGTACCCAAAAAGAGGTGTTCTGTGATTTTCACTGCCGCAGATGAAACGTCCAAACCAACAGGTTGTGTAAAAAGACCTAAAGTTCGCTATGTTTCGGTGCTTTCGGTGTTTGTGTAACATTTGTAGGTTTTGGGTAAAACAGATTTTCAAGTGTATTCTTTCTTTCGCCCGGCATTTCGTGCGCCAAATTATTCGAAAGTGAAGTGTATATGCCATATTTAAATAGAGATTATGGATAATTCCAAAAGACCACGAAACAAAATTATTAGATTTTGTCGGAAAGTCAACTAAGATTCCTCAATAAAGTTTTGTATGAGTGTATTTTGCTTTTGCACAAAGAATTATACATCATGGGAAAAGTACAGTCAAGAAAAATGTCCTTTATCTTCCAACACCTACCCAGTCATGGTCACTGTCCTACAGTCCAATCCCACTAACAGGCGCCAGCTGGGTTTATATTCTGAGAGAATGACAAGCGGTCATAGAAAGTAGGTCTCTCAGTATGGATAACCGACATGTGTTGATACAGACAAAAAATTATATTTGAATAATGATACAGTTTAAGTCCCAAACGGCTAGTGTTTGCTTGACATATACACTTTATAATGTTCTATTTCCGTGAAAGTCATTTCACATTAGAATACATATCACATTAGGCTGGACCTTATCTCACCCCAAGCTGTAATATGTTAAGATATTAATTAAATAGAGGGTTGGTCTATATTTCTCTCTGATGAAGGAGGTAGTCTGTACCTTATCACGCAATACATCAAATACACACAACTGACTGAAGTACACCTAGTTGTCAGACATATAAACATGTCAAACAGCTTCCATAACATCTGACCTCCCTTACGAAATGTCATGATTGCCTCCTAAGTGCTATTGCCTCCTAAGACATATTTGTCTCCCCATTGTTCTCGGTGCCTGCGGTATGGTGTCTCCTGCCTGACAATGGGAGAGTGTCTTGGTTTGCCACCAGGAACACAGCCCTTCTGACACTCTTGTAATGCAGAAGGCTACAGTTTTCGGGAGTCTAAAATTCAGGAAACGTTTTCGTGGCAGCGTTTCTTGGGAACAGTCCCATTCGCTGACTGGGCTGCATTCGTGTAAAGCGGGCAAGGGTGTTCGTTGTTGTCCTCGGGTATTGTCTACCGAGTCATGTGGCATGTTTATTCAATCTCTTAGCCTGTCTTAATCTTTTAGGGCGAGTACTCAAAATCCTGCTGTCGAGGAACCTGTTCTTGGAAGGGAGTAGGTTACGTTGCAGGGAGGAGATCCCGATTGTTCGTCCAAATTCACATCGAAAACATTTTTTTCAGTTTGGCACATCAAACTTCTTTGGCAGGCCATTTGAGTGTTAACAAAACCCATTTCGTTTGGCCTAATTTGCGGCATGATGTGACTGGACTTTCCAAAACCTGCCATGTGTGTCAGATGGTTGCAAACCTAATCCGAACGTCATTGAAACCCATCCCAGCATTTGAAGAACCTTCCAGCAGGCTCATCATGGGCTGTGTCGGTCCTTTGCCTCAAACGAATCAATTCATATGCTGTTGTTTGCTGTGAAGGAGTCAGTTCAAGATACCTTAGGTTGAGTCCTTTTACCTCATCTTTGACCATGCGGTTCGTGGACCATTTATATTTTTTTAGGAGCCGTGGCTTAATGATAGGTCTCAAATGAGTTTGTTGGACTTCGTTTCATCATTTAGGCTTTCGAAAGCTTGTGAAGTTGCTAGGGAAAGTTTAAAAGAATCCCAGGACAAGATAAAAGCACTATGACCAAAAATCTTAAGAGAGAAATATCAGTCGTGGAGATAAAGTGTTAGTGTTTTGCTGGGTCAACCTTTACATGTGGGTAACATGGGCCATATGTTACTGATAAGAACGTTAGGGATACTGACTGTGTTGTTCTAAAACCAAAACCGTCTTAAAAAGACACAGCTTTTGAATGTCAATATAATTAGAAAGTATCATAAAAGAAATGACTATGAGCCCACCGAGTGTGTTGCCAGGGTTGTTCCTGCAGCTGATGTATCTGATTGTGATACTGACGAAAGATTGACTTTGTAAAGTTTGATGATATTGTTGACTATGCTAGCCCTAAGGTACCATGGGAAAGGCAGAACCAGTATAATCTGCCTTGGAAGATTCAACTATCGCCTATTGAGGTACTGCGAGAGAAAGCAGTTAATAATTCAAGATGTTTCAGTTTAATTTCTTTATTAGCTTGAATTTCTAATTCTTTGGGGGCGGTGGGGTAGCCTTGTGGTTCGCTCGTCACGCCGGAGATCCGGGTTCGATTCCCCACATGGGCACATTATGTGAAGCCCATTTCTGGTGTCCCCCACCGTGATATTGCAGTATTGCTAAAAGCTGAGTCAAACTATACTCACTCGCTCTAATTCTTTGATCCGAAACTCTCTGTCATTTTTCAGCTTCTATTCCTGTAGGCAAACGCCATCCAAAATGTCTCCCTCAACCAGTAATGTGATCACAATTCTCTTGACACCTGACATACCAGCTTTGATGTCCAGTTTGTAATATTGGGTCTCTTGGTCCAGTTCAGACTTCTGAGCATAGAGGCTTGTTCCTTTGAAGAATGGTTTTCAAACATCTCTACACTAAACACCATATCGTTCACACAGTATAAAACAAATAAAAATTTAATCAAGACAAATTTGACAGTTAATTTTGTGATGATAATCACCCACAATCCTGGTCTTCTGATGACTTGAGATGTTATGTGAGATGAGAGGCAAGAGTTACTCCACTTATACCTCTCAAAGCAGAACATTCCGGAATAACTTCCTTGCAGGCCTTTCCAAATCATTCTATGTAAATGTATAAAAAGTAACCAGCACACCACTGTCCCTCACTGTATCAGTTGGTACAATGAATAACAGTTGAAAGATTGTTGCACAACCAATGTACACTGGCTCATCACAAAAGGAAAGTAGAGTTTTGTTCAATATTCCTGGCAGTCTGAGACTCAAACATTGGTCAGTAAAAAAGGATCTGTATGCTAAGCCGAAAACTACTCTGAATGATTAGGCACTATAATGGCTTGTATACTTTATTATTATGTTTTACAGATTAAAGATGAAAATGCAGCAGAGAGGGTTCGGGTGATCCTGGCACAGTCAGGCTGGTAAGGCTCATCATCAGCTCAGGGCCCTCGCCCCTCTACACGCAGCCCAGACAGCGAATGGGACTTCTCCCAGGAAACACTGCCAAGTCGAACCCTCAAAGAACTTTCCGGAGAATATGAAGGCTCCCCAACAGTGCCAGCCTTCTGCATTACCCAGAGTGTCAGAAGGGCTGTGCTCCCGGTGGAGAATTATTATTATTATTATTTGATATTTACATAGCCCACATATCCACGCACTAGTGTATGCTCAAGGCGCAGGTATTTTTTCCTCGATCACTGGATGTCAATCTCAACAGCACATCTTATTATCAATCTTCTTGTACAGAATTGTGAGAAAGATTTTTGTTCGTAAACAGGTCAAATTGCTGAGGATTGCACCAGCAATGACTTGGTACTGACATACCAAGGATCAGCATCTGGGATCCAAACCCTCATCCCGCACATACTGGCTGCACGATATGGAGGCTGAGTGAACCTGGACTGTTGGGCGGTTCACTATTGATGATCAAAAGAAAGAAGTCGGTAAGAATTCCCTTTAAGAATTTAATACCCCTTGCACACATAAAACATACAGTATACACATTGTCTTGTGAAAGTACGGGACAAATAATGTGGTAAAAGTTGATTATGATTATGAAATATATACAACAGAATGATCTTATCTCAGCTGCTTCAGCCAAACCACACATCCTGCCAGTCCAGAACTATACAATAAATAAAAACAAACCCTTCCCATAAACATAAGAAATCTATGCTACAAGCAGCGCATTGAAGGATCCATACTATATCATTATGATACTGTGTTAATGAATCACTATCAACCATGTGTCACGGTACATTATATACCAATATCAACCCCTAAAACATTACATCCAAACTGAGGACTCATTCACACACAAGCATTTAAAAATCTCTGATTCTAAACTCCTGGGGCTGCTAAATATCTTCCACACAATAACTGCTCATAATTTAATTCAAGGTCCACATCCTTGTTATAAGCCTAGGTCTTGTGTGAAAATTGTTGTGCACATTGGAGACTGATCAGGCTAGTTATCTATAACCATGAGTCTCCCCATAGTGGGCGTGTGGGACCACTGTTGTTGATGTCAGAAGCCCAGTGTCAGGAGATGCTGTAGTTGGTGTTGAGGTAGTCGAGGACACTGGACATGCTGGTGAGGGAGTTGAAGTACCGGCGCTCTGCCCGACACAGGTTTGGCTCCAGCATATACATGAGGTGGTGGTGGAAGTTGGAGAACGGCGCTCCGAGACTCAGACCTAGGTCCACCTACAAGGAGACACAGGGGAACTGTAGACCGGTGTGACTGTGTGGTTATGTGCAGTTAGGTGTGGGAGGAAAGGATGAAGTGATGCAGGTCTTAGAGAGTTATTACCTTGGTGAAACCGAAATGCATGGTTAGGTCATCTACAGGTATATATCTGGAGTGTTTCTCAACTCCAGCCTTAATCAGCAAGACAGCCGGAAGGTGACAAAACTAATAATATTTCAATAACTATAAAAGCACTTTTCACTTGTCGTGTAACATATCTTATGAAAATTTAAGATTTAGAACACTTTGTGAAGGTTTCTTCATTAAATTTATGATGTAGATCGTGTCACTTGGCTGCAGAAACAATTCTGAAAGAAATGTTAATGTAGAAAGATCAAAGCTGGCCTGTTTTGTGTTATGAGTGTGAAGGGTTGGAGCATTTTTATAACATGTCAGTGTGTGAATTACCACAGCAAAAATTGAGATAAGAAAACCTTTTAATATTTCACATGAAAATGACCAGCAGAAGATGCAAAACAGTGTTAAGAATATGGACAGCCTAAAGGCACTGACAAATCTAGAGTGAGTGAGTGAGTTTAGTTTTACACCACACTCTGCAATATTCCAGCTATATGGTGGCGGTCTATAAATAATCGAGACTGGACCAGACAATCCAGTGATCAACAGCATGAACATCGACTTATGCAACTGGGATCACGATGACATGTGTCAACCAAGTAGAGTGAGTCTGACCACCGGATCCTGTTAGTCACCTCTCATGACAAGCATGGGTTACTGAAGATCAATTCTAACCCGGATCTTCATGTGTGACAATGTAAAAGATGAGAAAATATCTCTGTGTGGGGCATTTGTGTTGCATTAACAGTGAAGGTGATGCATTGGCCATGTGTTTGTTATATTTGAGTCTTCATTAACCTACCCACTCATTCACACACATTGCAGGGGGTGAAGGTGGGTTATGCTGGTCACACCTGCAACATCATGCAACATCAGCAACATCATCACATCAACATCAACAGCATCAGCATCATCACATCAACATCAACATCATCAGCATCATCATCAACATCATCCGATGGCCAACTCACCATCCTCTCCTGTCTTATCACAGACATCAACTCACCATCCACTCCTGTCTTGGCACAGACATCAACTCACCATCCGCTCCTGTCTTGGCACAGACATCAACTCACCATCCGACAGACATCTCACCATCCACTCCTGTTATCATTTGTCTTGGCAGTCTTCCCAGAGTCTTGGCACAGACATCAACTCACCATCGGCTCCTGTCTTGGCACAGACATCAACTCACCATCCCTCCTGTCTTGGCACAGACATCAACTCACCATCCACTCCTGTCTTGGCACAGACATCGACTCAACATCCTCTCCTGTCTTGGCACAGACATCAACTCACCATCCACTCCTGTCTTGGCACAGACATCAACTCACCATCCACTCCTGTCTTGGCACAGACATCAACTCACCATCCTCTCCTGTCTTGGCACAGACATCAACTCACCATCCACTCCTGTCTTGGCACAGACATCAACTCAATCTCCTGTCTTGGCACAGACATCAACTCACCATCCTCCTGTCTTGGCACAGACATCAACTCACCATCCACTCCTGTCTTGGCACAGACATCAACTCACCATCCTCTCCTGTCTTGGCACAGACATCAACTCACCATCCTCTCCTGTCTTGGCACAGACATCAACTCACCATCCACTCCTGTCTTGGCACAGACATCAACTCACCATCCACTCCTGTCTTGGCACAGACATCAACTCAACATCCTCTCCTGTCTTGGCACAGACATCAACTCACCATCCACTCCTGTCTTGGCACAGACATCAATCTCAACTCACCATCCACTCCTGTCTTGGCACAGACATCAACTCACCATCCACTCCTGTCTTGGCACAGACATCAACTCACCATCCACTCCTGTCTTGGCACAGACATCAACTCACCATCCACTCCTGTCTTGGCACAGACATCAACTCACCATCCACTCCTGTCTTATCACAGACATCTGACACATCATCCATGGACTTGATGTCACCATTGGCAACCACTGGTACACTGACGCTATCCTTGATGACCTTGATGGCGTCGTAGTGGACAGGTTGGCAGCGTTCATGCTTGGTGCGACCGTGGACGGATATGAAGGAGGCGCCAGCCTTCTCCACCTTTTGACAAAGGTCAACTGTATCCCTGGGAACAAGGATGATCATACATTAACACTTACATCAGGAACTTACACCCCAGGCTGATCAGTAACCAGCAATGTCAGAAATGGTTTCAATGGTATACAAAACGTTCCATTACCCATCATTTGTTCTATGTATCGTCTAGAGGTTAGTCTTCATGTACACACAGTTGAACCCCATGTCTTGAATTTCAATGGGTATGAGTGTGGTACAACAAAAGCTGAAGTTACCTGATATCTTTATGTATTCGTATTTTCACTGATACTGTAAATTCTTCCTGAGGAACTCTGGCTCTCGCTTCCTTCACAATGTCACACATCAGCTCTGGTTTCTTGATGAGACAAGCTCCGTAGCCATCAGCCATTGCCCATCTGGAGATGTCAGGAGAGCGTGAACACATATAATGTTTGTAACAACATCTCAGGACTTTGAGTTGCTCCATCATCAGATGAAGTGGTTATCCATAGATGTTTCACATGTTAATGTTATACAGGATCTTACAAATCAACATCTGCCAGTGTTAGCACTACACGGTAGCCAGCAACTGAATGAGTGAGTGTTAAGGCTGTGTTATGTGGCAGTCAGAAATAGTCTTATCCATTCTTATGAACTAGTGTACAATAAAGTCTGGGACAGGCATCGGTTGCCAGCCCAAGTAGTGGTCAATGTCTCTCCAGCAGAACAAATACAATGACACCCGGGGGGCCAGGTCAAGCACTGTGACCACCTGAGCCTTGTTCTAGCCCCGTCTATGTCCAGCATGTGGTCCACTGGGGTCTGTTCAACAGCAAGTTATAGCAAACCAGTGGCTGACAGTGTGAACAGCGTTCGAAATAATCGCCAGCCGGGTACCATTATGGACCGGCGGTTTCAAATTTTGCAGGCCCTTGACCTTCAGTAAATTATCTGTCTTTTTCTTTTCAACTGAAACCTTTTCCATAATTATTTTTTTTAACATTCGCGAATCACCCATGATCCATCATGTTACGATAACTTACAGTTTCACTTCCTGGTATTTCAGCGCTTTCCACATAGGAATGTCAAACACCAGTCTTAAAGCAAACAAAAACCTCTCTCTGCGCCATTGGCTTCGTTAATTGATTTGGTGGAAACATTGTGAAACTGTGTAGTCTATTTTGTTTTTATTAGTTTGACTTTAACAAAAAGGGCCTGCAGATTTCATTCAGGGCCTGTAGATTTTAGAGCCGGCAGGCGGCAGCAGGCCCTGATGGCCAACTGGCAAATTAAAGTATTGCAAACACTGAGTGTGAACACAGACTCCTGTGATGCTGGATTGTACTGTGAAGAGGACTCAGGTTACAACTCTCTGACAGACCATGTTAGGAAAACATACATTTGTGAATCAAGTCATAATGTATGCCCATCTCATCCAGCTGGCAATAATACGTCTGTTACAGTCTTTGCCTTGAAAGTATAACAACATGAGGAACCGATGCCAGAAATCACACATACCTTTGAGGGCAGCCACAGTTGAGATCGACACCATCAGCATATCTGAAACAGCAACACAGGAAACAAAGAACATAAATAACAACGTGAATCTCCATGTCGGTACAGAACAATCCTTATAGCCCAAGGTAACCATGGTAACTGTTACTGTGTTCTTGTTTACCACACCTAGGTACCATTTGGACATTCTGACCCCAGCAAAGGTCAGCACACAGCACAAGACATGACACTAACCACTTCCCAAGTCTTGTATATCGTCATGACTACTGGTCCTGTGTACAAGCTGCGAAAAATGCCTTAAACATATTACAGCAATGATTAACTTTGTAGAATGAATGCAGTGTCAAATCAAAATGTCATCATGCCTTACAAATTCAAAATATAAACAATATCATAATAATCATCAGATATCAATAAAATTTGCCTCATTTGCAAAATGATTTCACCATGACTGTTAAATAATAGATTCTGATTGGTTGATTGCTATGAATGAGGCTGATCAATATGACTGCAAGGTGTCTGATTTTATGACTACCTCATCTCACACTCGCACAAGTTGTTACACTTTTGTAAGACTTGTATCCGTGATGATTGTTTGTTGTCTAACACAGCACAGAAATATTCAACTATATTGTGGTGGTCTGTAAACAGTTGAACCTGAACCAGACAATCCAGTGATCAACATCATGAGCATTGATCTATGCAATTGGGATGCAATGAAATGAATTGAAGATGGAAAGAGCTAATCAACTTCTACAAGGTTCAAAGGTTCAAACAGTCACCTTCCACTATCACATCAAAATCTTGCAAAATGTAACAACCAATCCATCTGCTTCATTCCAAATTTGTCAATCTTTTTAACAGTTTCAAATGATATTTGGAAAATCAGTATCACTACCAGGGCACAAGGCTCAGGCTGCAGGTGCAGACAGCATGCATATAGAGATTCAGACCTAAACAGCATCTAGTCATGAAGGCCCCTTTAAATGTGTGGCTGCATTTGGTGCCTGTACCATGCTGCACATCAACACTGAACTAGTGTTGTGAATTGGTTGAAATCTCACAACTGATAACTGGTTCATTACTGATGAGCAATCATCGAAACAAAATTGGTTCATTTTTCATATTTTCCTGTTCAGATTGTTATTGCAGTTAAGTGTAATGTGGTTCTCTGTTGGTTTTTGTTTCACTTAGAAACTGCACAAATTGCATTTGCAAAATTCACATCCCATGTAAAATGATGCAACTTGCTACTTGCTAACACTAAAACAGAAGTTCCCAAATCGTTTGTGTTCGATTATGAGAAAATGTGATTGATTGTTTGGTTGTTTGGTCACTGTATCCAATCTTTGATTATTTTAATCAATTAGAACACCACTACACTGAACACAAATACATACGGTGACACAATTTCTGCAGCATCAGCAAAATCTTTGGGTTTACTTGCAGCAAACTGTACAATCAGGGGTCGATCATCTGCAAAATACATTCAGTGAATCAGCTGATCAGACACCACCCTGGATGATCCTGGGAAATAATGTCTCCATTTTGACTGATACTCCAGACTCATCCACCATGATGGCCCAGTGCTGAGTCTGTGTCACACAACAGGACAATGTAAATATCTGCCCAGTCAACCCCACCCTAAACAGTGGGGGCCATTGGGTACGTTTCAGATAGTGTGGATGTATGAGGTAACATCACTTCTAAATCACAGCTATGGATGGAATGTGTCAAGTGTATTATCAGAGAAGAGTGGAGACATAATAACACACTGGCTAATTTAGGATGCCATGATATCATTCATGTTTAGAAACACGAACAATAATATTTTATTTTTATTTTTATTCCAGCAAAGAAGAAAGTAGATACAGTCACATTGGCAAGAACAGGTGTACCAGGTTGTTTGAAATACAAAGTTCAAGAACATGAAGAATGGCACAGTGTTTGCAAAGGGAAGTAACTCTAAGGTTTGTAAGCCAACAGTATACAAAATCAGAAGTAATTTATCTAATTAAAGTTTAAACTTTTTGAGAGTGGAGACCATTTTTTTTCAAATGCATTGTATTTGTTGTTCTTACATGCAATAATTGTTCCGAGACAATGTTTCAACATATGAATGGTTAAAAGGTTTGTAAGTGCCAGTTATAGCATCTGTTTGACAGTGACAGCAGTGAGCTATAATTAGAAACAAGAGTATGGGTCATGTGATGGGTCATGTGACTGGTCATGTGACGGGGAGTTGAGGCGAGGCGAGCCACGGGCAGGGGTGAGAGAGAGGTCGGCCGAAGCAAAAAGATGCTAACGTTCGGGCATAGGGCTACACGGTTTTCAACCGTATTACAGCGTAATTTAAAGGGTTTGCATAGGAAATATGAGTTGTAACTGTAATGGTCCTGAATAAAGAAGTGGAACAACGTCCTGCGTTTGTGGAACCTACAAGGTTATACATCTGGTATATATTAAAGTTAAATCAGTCAGACAATATCGTCTACCCAGTAGAAACTGCTACCCCTTGGCACACACTGTCACGCTTCCCCTCATCCATGATGCACTACTTCATGATAGCATCATATTACTATGAAGAGTGAGTGAGTTTAGTTTTACACCGCTTTTAGCAATAATGTAATTTTCTGAGTAAAATTGATATTTTATACTTATCCTGAATCATGTATTATTGCTTGTCTCCTTCCTTTCCCGAACGTTAGTGGAACACTTGTATCTCCTTTTTGAAGCTCCCTTTCAAAAAAACAGACGTAAAATCACTACTCACCACGAGTTATGTCCCTCTGGTTTTGGCGGGAAAACGGCGCCACCCGTCTTCCCACGCTTCACTCTCTCCGAATAGCTAGCCCGACACTTCGATTTACAGGGAAATCCAAAGTGCCTAGCGGGGAGGTTGGGAGGGCTTACCTCATGAGTCAGGAGTCAGGATAAGTATAAAATATCAATTTTACTCAGAAAATTACATATTTTTCCTTATCCTGACTCATGTATTATTGCTTGTAGAATCGATCGGTTCTGGTGGTGGGACAAGCCACTTCTGGATTCCAATTAGTGATTTATGTCTTGCATACCCCCCTATGGGAACTTCCTGGTAGCACTTCAATTTACTGCTAGGCTCTGCTGCTGCTGTAACCCTTTACTTCCAGCTTTCTCTGATGGGGGGACAACAATTGTTAACTTTTGGTCCTTGCTTCTGTTAACATTTTTATGTGGATTTTGCAACTCCATCTCTTGATGCAAGCATCAAGTGGAGAAGCGACCCTTTTCATGTCTGATGCGTCCTGACAAGTACTGGGTCTTATCACTTATGCTAGTCTGTCTTAGGCGTGCATATGGACTCTAAAGCTGTAACTCTCCTGAGTGTAGGCTTTTTGCAAAATCATGTGATAAAGGGGCGAGACTCGTCTCAGCGCCTTTGTGGAACTGTCAATTGTTGTGCTACAACAAGTGGGCGAAATGGTGAATGCCAGAGGCGTCCTCGGTGGCGATGTCTCTCAGGTAGTGGTTGGCAAACACCATGTCCGATTTCCAAGCAGCCCTCCATTATCGCCGCGTGATAGAGCAATTCCCATGTAGAGCGAGTGTTGGCCTTCCAGGCTCGAATTTCATGTGGATTGGAGGCTCTTGGAGGATCAAGTCCTGCTGCTTTGTAGGCCCGTAGTATGACAGTTCTCATCCATATTATTATTGTAGTCGCGGCGATCTCCGTCTGTGTCGGCTGTCGATATAGGAATGAAAAGAGCGGCTTTAATTTTTAGTCTCCTGGTCCTAGACCTTTGTAGGTAGACTTTCAATGCTCTTACTGGGCATAAGGATAGGTCCTGTGTATCCTGTGGCCCAAGGACTGATGATAGTGCTGGGATGTGGAATTGTCTGTCCGGTTGACCTGGCAGTTGATTCTTTGCTATAAAGTCCCATCTCAGTCCCATATGCCGCGATGTTTCGATTTTAGATCAAATCGTGTCCTCTCAAAGTCTAGAGCATGTATTTCCGACATCCTTGCCTTGCTGTTGCTAAGGGCTTATCAGGAATAGAGTTTTCTCGTCAAGAACTCAAAAGATGTCCTATCTAATGGTTCATAAGCATCACTGGTGAGATGCCGTAGAACTATGTTGAGGTCCCACGCCGGAGCTTTAAATCTCTGTTGTTGGTCCTCCAGTTTAAAGAGCGTAGTAAGGCCAGTAACTCTGGTACCTTAGTCAGTTTTACACTCGTCCTCGTAGTAATAACTGAGCTCAATGCCTCTAGGTATGTTGAAAGTGTTGACCCTTTTAACCGCTTCGTTTGTCTTAGGTGACAAAGAAAGTCCGCCATTTGAGGGTGTGTCGCTTTTATGGCTGTGAAGCCTGTTTCCAAAGCGTAGGTCTCGAAGCTTCGCCACTTGTTGTCGTACAAGTTGCGTGTTGACTTGCGTAAAGCTAGTGTGACCGCTTTAGCTGCCCTGGCGGAATATCCTCTCTTATTCAAGCACGCCTTGATACTCTCCACGTGTGTAGCCGGAACACCTCTGGGTTGCCGTGTGCTTGCTTTGTGTGTGGATGTACTAGCAAGTTAGATCCCACTCTGGTAGTTACAGTTGAGAGGTCCTAGTTCTTGTATGAGAATGGGGAACCACATTCGCTGGCCAGTAAAGCGATCAAAATCAGTTGCAGGTTCCTCGTCTGCATGATTTTCTGCAACACTTTCGGTATTAGAGCTGGTGGCGGGAGCAGCGTGAAAGCGTTTAGTCCTTCCCCAGAGATGCTTAGAGCATCTGTTGCCCTGTTACGTGGATCTGTCGACTTGAGGACTGAGTAGGCTCTGCCAACCGGTAGTAATAGTAATAGAGAGAGTAGTGCTTGAGATACAATGACTTGTATCTAGATCCAACGATCGTGAAACCCTTGCCATATCCGTGGGGAAGCGAAGCAATGTCCGACTCTGTGACTGCCATCGTTGTGAAGTCTATGTAAGGTAGACTGCCTGCGTAACCAAAAGTCCGTCAAGCGTATGTTGCTGCAATTCACCTGATGAACCGTCTTCAATGCTGACAGGGAAGGTCTCTAACCCGTGAAGACAGTCGAATCAATGTAGTTCCGTCTAACTGGACTGTAATTGAGGCCTTCCTCCCGCGTTGAAAGGTTGTTGTCACTTGTAAACAAATCCTGACATGTGAACTACGTCCGACTTCTGCGCAGGGCGTTGTCTCTCATTGACCAATCAAAATGAAGCATTGTGATTCCTTTAGCTTCCCGCGATGTGACGTCACCGGTGTAGCAGAAAAAAGATCCTTGTAGAATCTTGTGCAGTCGTTGATATGTTATCAACACTCGGTCTTGTCCGTAGCCTTCCGGAGTTACACGAGTGACCACGTGTATAGAGGGTTGAATGGTAAACGCGCGAAAGATTTCGCCGCGTAATACCGATGTAGGTATGCTGTTTTCCTGGCTGCTGTGACTGTTACTTCAGTCCTTAAGATAAGGCAGTCGTCCTTTTATACAGATGATCAGCTGAAGTCCACACCTCCTCAGCGCTGCCACCTGTAGACTGCATTCATCAATCTCAATGAAGTGTCGTAAAATACCCTTGTTGAAGGTCTGCGACGACTGCAGCTGTAGTGACGCATCTGAGAGTGTTGCGGCTTTTTGCGTTGAACAGTGGGATATTTGGAGACTGGAACTTTGTTGCCTTCCTGAAGGCTGCGTCAAAGTCCTCAGGTACGTCCGAGACCGGGTCAACTGGAGGTAAGGTGATTGTGTCTACATCATCGTCCTTCATTAGGTACGTGAATGCTTCATTCTCTTTGATTCCGCCATCGTCCTCTGTATCATGTCCAGTCGGATATGATCGTTGAGTATCCTCCCTGCATGGAGATCTGCGTGACAATCTGTGTGGAGATGTGGCGACCTACGTGGAGGTGAGCGTCTACGTGTCAGGGGTTGCCTTCGCGAAGGCAATATATTCCTATGTGGTGACATTCTTGATGATCTATCTGACGACCTTTGCGCAGGTGAGAGATTTTGTTGAGGGTCTCAGTCCTGAGACGTCTCTCTGTATCTTCTTGGAGGTGTAAGCCTCTCTATGATGTAGGTAGCCTGCGCGAAGGCTCTTCTTTTAGCTTCATCATCAAATGACGATCTATTTTGGTCAGATGAATGTCCCTTCCTTCGCGCAGGTTCGTTGACGTCGTGCAGGGTAGGTCTGCTCTTAGTCCTAGAGCTAGAACCTCTTGTAGATATCTCAGATGTACCACCGGTGCGGGGTCCTTCGTGCAGCATTGGTTGAGCATGAGAGGCGGCTGCCTAACCATCATGTAAGGTCGTGCGCGAAGCGCTTCTCTATCAGGTCCATCATCTGTTGGGAGAATTGCTGCATGAAGGTCCCGGGGTTGAATGTCTGCGATGACTGTAGAGATGACGCATCTGAGAGGGTAGTGATATGGTCCAGGGATGCAGCTGTACCTCATGGGTCCCTGCTGCCAGTGTAGAAGGTAACTCAGACTGCGTCCGATAATGTTGCTGGCGTTACCGTTGCTGAGGCCTGCGTCTTCTTCTTATGCAGTATCTCTGGGATGAGGATAGCCGGTTCTATGTACAAGCCTATTTCTTCCATCGGGACGATCTCGGCAGAGAAGGTCCTTGTAGTCTGTAAAGAGCTTCCAGTAGATCTCGTTGAAGCCTTAGGGGTGCAAGGCTTCTTCTGCGACGAAGATGGCCTCTTCTTCTTCGTATGGGTTGAGGAGTTGTCCGACGTAGAAGATCTTTTCTTCAACGTAATGGCGGACCTCATCCCACGCCCATCTTCTGAAGACGCCTCTGGCAGGTCACTTGGCAATGTATTCCTAAGTGGTGACTCCTGTGACAATCTTGTTGTTGACGCTGTTTGAAGATAATTCAGATGACCTTCGTGCAGGTGAGAGATTTTTGGTTGAGGGTCTGAGTCCCGAGACGTCTCTCTCGACCTTCTAGGTGGTGTAGGTTTCTTTCTCTGCGAAGTGGGTAGTCTGCGTGAAGGTTCTTCATTAGCCTCATCATCTGATGACGATCTCATTGGTTCTGAAGAGTGTGCCGTCCTGCGCGCAGGTTTGCTGACGTCATGTAGTGTAGATCTGCTCTTAGTCCTAGAGCTAGATTCTCTGGTGGGCGTCTCAGATGTATCATCAGTGTGGGGTCGTTCGTGCAGGTCTGGATCCTCTCTGAGGTTGATGACTTGAGCATGAGAGCCGCCTGGCTGTCCATCATGCGAGGCTCTTTCCTCTTGTGGCGCTTCTCCATCATCTCCATCAACTGTTGAGAGAATTGCTGCATAAAGGCCCCGGGGTTGAATGTCTACGACGATTGTAGAGATGTCGTATCTGAGATGGAAGTGATATGGTCCAGGGATCGCTGTGCCTCATGGATCTCTGCTGTCAGTGTAGAAGGTAACTCGGACTGCGTAGATAGGGCTGCTGACGTTACCGTTGCTGAGGCCTGCTTCCTTTTCTTATGCTGTATCTCTGGGATGATCAACAGCGGCTCATCATAAAGACCTCTCTCTTCCATCGGGACGATTTCGGCCGAAAAGGTCCTCGTAATCTGCGAAGAACTCCCCGTAGAGCTGGTTGAAGTCTTAGGGGTGTAAGGCTTCTTCTGCGTTGAAGATGGCCTCTTCTTCTTCGACTGGATGGACAGCTCTTAAGGGACTCAGCCCGTTTAGCCATGACTTGTAACAGCCGCCTGGATTTATCCTTAGCACGTTTCTAAGTACAGAGAAATAATAATTATTAAATTCAATTTTTGTTAGTTGCTGACATAATTTACAGCGAGAGCTGGAAGTACATACTGTTGTGCAACTAGGGCACAATAATGCGGGTCTGCAGCAGAGAACCAGTAATATCACTGTGGGGAACACCAGAAATGTGGGGAATCTAACCTAAGTTTTTAGACCCGTGGAATGCCGCTGCCGATCGAATCTAGCCCTACATAGGTGCTGTCAACGTGGCTGGAATTAATAAACGAATTTAAAAGGTGAGTTTTAAGCTGTCTTGGGTGATCCATGATTTTGGCTTGGAATGGCTTTTTAGCTTTTAGTGAGTAAAGTGGCATATAACTTTTGAAATAATGATCCTATTGTGACCATGTATAGCTCATTTTGTAGGGAAATCATCTCGCTTTCGATCAGTATGCCTCGACAGGGCCATAAAAATAGTTTATGTGGTGAAATCTAACTTTGATTGATTAGGGGGTGGTTCAGTCGTTACATCCCTTTCCTTTTATATAGTACTAGGGTTGGGTCTATATACCTATATGTCTTTCTAACGCTGTTTCTAAGCGTGACACACCCCTGTGACTAATTATAAACCCTACATCAAACTCATGCCGGTGTTAATTGAGAATTATTGAAAGAAAGGTTCTAAATGGTAAAATATCACTGGTTACTGAGACTTACGTTTACAGGTTGTAAAATCACTGTCCCTGGCTTTCTGTGATTGTATGAAACTGTCGGAGATGATCATCGGGGTGAAGGCGATATCACAGTCATACTTCCTGACCAGCAGCCGGAACGGGAGTCTGAGAACAGAGGAGGGTGCCACATCCATACACTGGTTATATAATACCTGTGATATCTCCTGAGGTGCACCTTGAGATGTTATGCAAATGGATTGGGATTTTCATGATTATGAACGTGATTCCATTATGCGTATGAATAGAATGGATGTACACAAAAATATGGTGCATCCTGAGAGACACCCAATAATATTCATTGTAACGATTTCTTGAGAAGTGAAAAAGCTCCAGTAATTAAAGAAAATACAAAATCTGACAGTGCAGTAGTTCATTGTTGTATAGGACCACCATATTTCCAGTAAAGACTATTGAAATCAATGTTTATTATATTCGTAATATGGATACAGTATACATCATGCAGTATCTTAGTGCCAGGCATCTACACTCAAAGGGATTTATGACTGAAGAAACATCTTAACTTTTGTATATTTCCATCAGTACAAAACACTGACTTTTTAATCGAGATAATAAAATAATGAAGACAAATCATTTTAGAATCCAGACTCAAAAACCTGTGCATAATACTGGGTGGGCAAGGTTCTGTCAGGAGTCAGCTGTTACAGTTTCCCATGTAGGGCTCCTCATATCCTCATATCTTCATCATATTGGCATGGACAACATACATGAAGTTTTAATGAAGTATGACTGAAATCAGGGAGAAATACTTACTTTGAGTATCTAACCATGGGTGCACACATCTTGATGACTTTCTTCTCAGAAAACAGTTCCAGTGGTTTCTTCCATGTAAATTCTGTTTCCAGACCAGCATGGCTACCAGAGTCACAACACAAGGTGACACCGGACATCTCCGCCCTCAGACGCTCCATACTGGGCGACTATTGTAGCTGTGGTTCTCTACAACATCTTCCTCATGTTCTCCATCACTCTCTCCTCAGGACATGCCTGGCATCTGCATCACCTGCATCAACACAAACATACATGGCTTCTTGAAGATATATATTTGTGTTACTGTCAAATAAACCATACACTGTACACCACTGTAATTAGTATTAGTATTAATAGTGACATTAGTATTTGCGTTAGTATTAGTACTAGTTATTAGTATATAGTGAATATAGTATTGGTATTAGCATTAGTATTAGTTATTAGTTTTAGTTATTAGTTAGTAGCTATTGATAGTAGTTAGCATTACGGGTGTGAAGGATTTTAATTAAGAGGTGATACTACACCTTAAATATTTTAACTTTGATATGCTTGGGTCAGTCACTTACCTATCACTTCCTTTTGTTTAAACCAGGGCAAATGTTCTGGTAGAGTGGCTGACCCTATTGTTCTTAGCTTGCATGCTTTTTAACCCTCACTTGCACCTTAGTCACTGGACAGACAAGTCACCAACAGACTGCAGCAAGTTTACTAATTTCAGTTACTTCACTACTGTCAAGGTATGTTTGTTTAATTAAATACATAAACATATAATGTGTATATCTTTTCATAAATAAGGTTATATAAACATTATGTTATGTATGCTAAATAAGGTAATTTGTACATTTGTGAGAGGTTTAGTAAATGGCAAAATCTCCTGGATAGGCAGGTATTTGAATGAGTATTTTGATTTATAAGTTTATGAAGCTTGTATCATGTATGTGTTGTGTATGTATGTGTATATATGATAGTATTAGGATGTTTGGTATTTTACTGTGTGCTATGCCAGATCTGTAAATATGTGCTTACAGTAATTCTGATTTGATGATAATATTTACGTGTGTAAGGATGTTGTGTAGGGAAGTTAGTTTTGAATTATTTCCACATTTGTAGGTATTTTCGGTGCCACTGTAGCCGTGACCATGTAGTTGTGGAAAACTGTAGTGTGACCTACACCTAGAGGCCATACTTCTGGTATGTTTGCATATTTTCATCACGTAAATATATACCATTATCTATTGATAACATTTTACACACAGTAAGATGTGTGTATATTTCATATATTCTATATTTACTACTACATATCTGGACAACTGTAATTCAGCTTGTTGTATCTTACTTGTCAGCATTGTGTAGTCAGATGCTTGACTGTGTTGCAAGGCCACTAATATAACACAATGCAGTAATTCTATATTTACCTACCGGTACTTTATTTAATGATGCATATGATGTACGTGTTACGGTGTTGTCCATACTTTTGTTTGCAAGCCAAATGAATTATGCTCGGATTATGTTTATTATCCTCATCATTGTTATTGTGTATTTCAGGGTGTAAAACAATTAACTAAACCCAGTCGTCGAATAAATCGAATCACACCCGTAGCCGTGTTGTTACCTTCATCAAGATGCACACTTAAAGCTGCTACAAAGATGTAATGCAAGTGGTCACAATAAACAGATCTGCTTGCTGATCAAGTTGTCCCACTGCCATGTATGGCAGATGGAACCCAAACTAAAGATTCTGTCATTCATGCAACTGAAACAGCAGGCAGAATAATCAGGGCTCTGGTGTATGTGGCAAGCAGCAATATTATCATACCAACACCAGCATGGTAATGTATGCTATATCAGCTGAATGGGAACAAGTACATATACAGTTTCAGTTTTGGGTTGTAGAATATGGGATCGTTTTCCGTTTAGGGTACAAGATACATTTTTGTATTTTGACTTTGTTCAGGGTACATTTCTATACACAGAAACGTACCTGGGGAACATATCTGTAGTACCTGTGCTGACAACGACCCCTCCTGCTCTAGGACCTTTGATGGAACACCTCGGATTTGCACAAACACTCACCAAATCGCCAGCACACAAAGCAAGGCGTCTAACTATTTTCCTGTTGGCACCATGTTGTACATACAAATTTTTATTACAATTGGAGAGAAATTATGAAAGTCAACTTCATAACTTTATTACCAGGAACACTACATTTTGGGTACATGCTTTGGGTTCCTTGCCTGGGTGGTGAATTTTAAGAAGCATACACCATTGCACATCTGAGAAACATAACCAAGAATATCATTCATTGGTGAAGGTGTAAGCTTATACCCTGAAATGTTGTTCCTCATAAAAACGTTGACATTCACAAATTCTCTCCCTTCCAAAAGTGTTCCATTTGTGAATGCTATTCGAAGACTTGTTACTTGAATGGTCAGAACAATGTTATTAACAGATTTTAACATTGTTCTGACCAACCATAGAATCGTGAAGACTACATAAGATTCGAATCGTAATGACATTCCACATAACAACTAGGAAGACTGGTCGACGATCATTTAATTGTTTTATTTTTCACCTGCTCTTGAAGTTGTACCATAAACCTGCGGACATCTGAGGCAAGTTGTCGCTGGTTGAAGATGTTCCCCGGCGATCAGCTGTGACTGAAGTGAAAGGTAGTTGTATTCCCTGTACCCAGAGGGAATCAAATCCTGGAGTACCTTCCGCACTTTATCTTACATTAATATGTGGGGCAAAAGTAAAGAAATGCAAATTCCATACCTGTGGGTTCAAAATATAACTGTTCAAATGTTTCTGCAATCGGTGAGAAAACCACATGGGTTTGTTTTCCTTTTTACCAACGTCCTTGACCTTTGTGCTAAATATAATAATTTTCAGGGAATTCATAAGAAATATTTATTTTACGGAATCCCCATATTGTTTTATACGACCGATTTTGAGCAAATATGTCATATATTTCATTGGTAAAGTAATTCGGCCAACTCCGGCTACATTCGGAATCACGGAAGTAAGATGGATGCCGACGTGGTACACTTGTTGGAGAGAGATGGTAAGTATCTTGACTATGAAGTAATTCCTCAATGATTCATCTTAAGTCGGTAACTGATTTAAAATGTCCTAGTCAAGGGGGTGTTTGCCAAAGTATTCTGAATATGGCAAGCGTAATTCATCTGGTATGGGCTGTCATGTTTGACAGAGATAGAGATAGTGTTTACATATTTTAGCAGATTTATCTCCCTTTACGGACATGTTCTAAAAATGAAGATTTACACTCTACAGCGTTTGGTGGTTATGAATCGAGTAAATTAGTTTGAAGCATACGTGTCAGTTCAAGGCTGGCGATTTATCAAGCCAAATAAACCAATATTCAGACTACTTAATGCAAGTTATGACCACGTCAGTTGAACATGGGCCTGTATTAATGTTGACATTGTTGTACTCATACAGAATACACATACATAAAAGGTACTGGCTACCGAACAGTTATGGCCACATTTTAGCGGTATTTCCAAAATTACTCCGCCGTTCGTTAAATTAATGAAACAGAATTAATTATGATGCTTAATTAGGCATTCACCGATGTGTCCAGCCCGTTCACTGCCGCCGATCATGATCATGTTTTTATATAACGCGGCGGAAGGGAATAATGGCAGTACAAATACAGTGGAAGCCCCCTAAACCGGCATTCATTGGGACCGGCAAAACATGCCGGTATAGAGGGCTTGCCGGTTTAGAGAACTTTTCAACCTGAGAATGATCTTCCCTATGCCGTAAAATATGACAGAGCAATGTTTTGCGATGATTACACAATGCCATTTATGTTACAATGTTTTGCGAGTAATAACCTTACTTCGCTTGTCAAAGCAAAGTATCTGATGTCTTTCAGCATATCAAGCAAGTATACAAGTGACACGTGTCACCCACCAATTTACCTCACCTACTTAGGCCTAATCCTTATCCATACTCAGGCGGTGGGGTAGCCTAGTGGTTAAAGCGTTGTCTCGTCATGCCAAAGACCCGGGTTCGAATCCCCACATGGGTACAATGTGTGAAGCCCATTTCTGGTGTCCCCCACCGTGATGTTGCTGGAATATTGCTAAAAGCGGCGTAAAACCAAACTCAGTCAGTCAGCTTATCCATACTCCTTTTATCAGCCAACACCAATGAGCCGATGGTAATCCACTGTGTTGTGTTGTTAATATACGTTCAGCCAATCAACAGGAGAGCCGAGATACCGGATGCCGGTTTAGAGAGTGTTATTTACTGAACAAACAGTCAATTGGGTGGTCTTTGTTGTGCCAAAATAAGGAATAAACTGACGCCGGATTAGAGGGTGTGTAAATGATCATAAATTAACTAGCTTATGCCGGGACCAAATTCTAGTGCCGATATTGAGAGCATGCCGGATTGGAGGGCTGTCGGTTTTGAGAGCTTCCACTGTAGATGTTTTCTCACAACTAACTATAACAGTTATCGCCATTCAGAATTTCTCATGCCATTCGTGAAATAATATATATTCATATCGTACAGTAACCTTGAATAATTGATTGTGTGACTATTTGAGTGTTTCTTTTACAGTAGATTGATAGGGAATGAAACAATTAATGACTTGTGACCTTAAGCTTGCTATTATATAGGTCGTAGGACATCCCCCCGACTAAGTTAAAAAAAATTATACGGTTGATAAATTTATCTATAATATTTCTCTTGCCGTGAAGAATTTTCTTTTGCTGTTCTTTATTGTTGTCAAATACCGTGGGGAAAAATACCGGAATTGTAATTGACCGGAATTGCGCATGTGTGATACTGATGTATTGGCGATAACTGTTACGCGGCGATAACTGTTGTCCAGCCAGTACACATATAGAATACCGGATACCTACCAGCCGTATTGTTTAGTGTCACGTCACCCTAACCCTAACCCTTACCCTAAACCTTACCCTAACCCTAAACAAAAGTAAACTCACATGCTTTCAAAGATGGCAGAAGGTATCCGGTATTCTGTAATCTTACCAAATCATCTTGCCTGCTATGACCACAAATCTAAAACAAATTAGTCCATCTATGTACAAAGTCTGTAATCACAAGGGCATTAAGGGATTTCTCCTTTATCCAGAAATTGAACCTGATGTATGGGAGTGTTTATATTTGGAATTTGGGAATATGTGGAGAATATGACATTTGCAGCAGATTAGGGGATTTGAGCCGTCTAGTGTACAAGTGACTCTCAAGCAAGAGAGATAACCAATGCCTGACTTTGCATGTCAATCACAGGAATCAGTTGCTAATTTCTGTATTTCATGATTTTCATTTGACTTGGCACTAATGTAAACTTTGCCAACAAGATGAAAATATGCATGGTTTAGTTAAATGCAGAAAACAAATATCAGCATGATAAGCATATATTGATGAATATTCTTGCTGCTCCAGATGTCTTCAAGAAGTTTCTGGAAGAGTCCTTTGATGTCAAGGCCCATGCTAACAGAGCCATACAAGGCCTTGCTATCTCAGAACAGCTGGGGAAGCTAGCTGAGGGAATCTCATTGTTAGACAAGGAAATACATTCACAGGTGAGGCAAAATACTTCTTTACAAGCAATCATAAGCATGAAAAGTAATGCAAGTGTGTAGGTATATAATACCAATTGCTTGTGCTGTTGATTAGTGGATTGTCTGACCCAGACTCGATTATTTACAGACCGCCGCCATATAGCTGGAATATTGCTGAGTGCGGCGTTAAACAACAAACCAACCAACATTAATATAATATGTGATTTAATTAACAATAGTTTCTGACAAAAGACATGCATATTTCAAAAACATTATGTGTTAGACATGTCTAATATTATCATGATTACAGAGTTACTAGAACACAACAGTTTTAATAACATTTCATAGCCAATACTTCTCACCAGACAATGAAATATTCTTATACGCCAAACCTAAAAAATGAATTCCATCCATCCATCTGAAGACATAGGCTGGATTGTTTTCAAATTTTGGGACCACATTCTGCATCTAAATGCAAATTTTTGTTTTGATGCATATTTTTTTAAGAATTGCAGCAATTTATAAATTTGAACTTAGAAAAGTTTGTTCAACCAATGATGTGAACTAATGATAACTAAAGGAAAGGTGAAGTGCAACGTTTACTTCTGATTTTTGAATTTTCGAGGCTAACTGTAGCTAATACTGAAGTGAGAGGAGTCACTGTTTTCAGATTGTGGAACACCATGAAGACCTGCTGTCACAGGCCACGAGTGTGGAAACCCTGGAAGGTAGGCATGTTCTCAGGATTTAATAAGCGAGGCTGTTCATATATGTTACAGTTATTCAGATATCTGAAGCAAAATTAATGTTATCATCTAGAGGTGGGCATGGGGTGTTTGTATTGTTATATAGGGTGAATGTAGCAATAGCTGTAATGTCAAGATGGTTGATCTATTGTTCTGTCGATCTGTTTCAAGTCTATATGGCTTACAAGTTAACATAAGCAATTTATCTCCCCATTTCTCATTGTAGGCTCCTATCTGATCTGTAGAACATCAACATCTATACCATATCCTAGGTCAATATACAATGTGCCAACTTGGTTCTAAATGTGACAACACAGTTGTTAATTTGATGACTCTGTTCTAAATGTGACAACTTGGTCCTAAGTGTGGCAACAACGTTGTTTGCAGGTGTTCTACAGATGATGCAGACTCGCACACAATCTCTCCTTGCAGCCATGGACAGGTGAGTCCGTCGTGTAAATATCACATAGTCTCCTTGCAGCCATGGACAGGTCATTCTCTTCCCACAGAGGTTACTCCTGTCATATCTTCCTACGTAACCTCTGTTCTAATACGGCCATATTTCCCGGTTCTCGTAAAATCCCCTAGCGGCAAAAGATCGCAAAACGAATTATCTCCCTTCTTTCTATCCAATCAGAACACGTGTCACATCGACTTAGATTCAACTTGACTAACACAAGCAAATGTGGGGCCACAAATATCCCCCATCTGCCGGGGACTTGTGTTGATGTTACACACAAGACGTTTAATGGCTAGCTTGTCCGTTGTCAACGAGGGCGATGGAGACGCCACTGATCCGCCATAACATGACTGAGTTCTGTCTAGAAGAAACGTTTGCACATCGCGCAGGGGAAGAGGTTTAGTTTTCTCGAAGCATACGGAAATTACCGAGGCCTTGCGAATGATCACTTTTGAAACAACGTCGCTGATTGCACAACTAAATCTGATTGCCTCCAATCACCAGTCTTGAACGCTCACACCATCAAAGGGCCGTATTAGAACAGAGGTTACGTAGGAAGATATGACAAGTAACCTCTGTGGGAAGAGAATGTGGACAGTTGAGTCCGTCGTGTAAATATCACATAGTCTCCTTGCAGCCATGGACAGGTGAGTCAGTCGTGTTAATATCACATAGTCTTGTAAATATGACACTGTCAGGTGAGAGAGGCCATGAAAATAGCACTATATCATCAAATCTTTGAGGGGCATTTAGAAGTGTAATGCATAAGATCCTCTGGATAAAGGACAAGTATACACCCCGAAACGTTGTGTTATTCACAATAAAGAAGTTGACATCCATAAGTCTTGCTTTTAACACTATGTCACATACATGACAAGTTTTGCATGGACCATGATATAGGTAACATATGTAAGGCTGTACTAATTGCTAAAACAGTGACAGATTATGCATTGTCACATGCTGTTTGCACAAGAGTAAACAGTCTGCAGTTTGTCAGACATAGAAAACAGTGGTTGATGGTGTACAATTCAGACCTAATTAGAAGACCCTTAAATTACAAAAATATGGTGTCCTTTTGATTCCAGTGGTTTATGAGACATGAGTTGGTCATATGCAGATTTACTTTTCAGAATCCGGACAAAGGTTTCGGAGCCATACAGCAAGATACTTGCCCGGACCACACAGCTCAGGCATTTACAGGTATGGGTTGGAGAGTATTATTAATAGTGAGCTTAGGCATTTACAGGTATGGGTTGGAGAGTATTATTAATACTGAGCTCAGGCATTTACAGGTATGGGTTGGAGAGTATTAATACTGAGCTCATACATTTACAGGTATGGGTTGGAGAGTATTGATACTGAGGAGAATACCAATGCTAATGACAGGCTGTGTTATTCATGTTCGTGAAATAGGTCACTTTTTTCAACACATTCACATTTTTAGATCAGGAGTGACTGGTGCTTTTCCTCATCTGGATGGGGACACAGGTGACTATGTTGTCACTCACTCACTCGCTCCTCATCTGGAGTTTCATCCTATTGTCCAGGTGCTGTGATTGAGATTGGGGTGATGAGGCTTGAGGTGTTGATTCAATAGCAGGCTAGGCATGATTCAACAGCAGGCTAGGCAACTGAAGTACTGGGTCAGACAACGCCAATCGTAGTTTACCATGTCATGATAGTTCTGGAATGATGCTGAAAGCCAAATAGAACTGAGCTATGTATGACTTGTCTCAGTTTGAAATTTCTTCCCACATTAAGCTGACATAACTGACTGACATACTGCCTCATGCAGGAGACGTGTGACCTGCTGCGGAGAATCATCCGAATCATGTACCTCAGCAGGCGCCTCCACACACAGCTGCAGGGTGGATCAAGGGAGATAACCAAGGCTGCACAGAGTCTCAATGAACTGGGTAGGATTTGTCACTACCAAGGATCTCTAGGGGTGCTGTTACAAGTGCAAAGTGTATCATAAACATATTGAACAACAGCTGAAAACAATTTGAGGCCTTGTATACGTTTTCTGAATACAACAGTTCTGTATTGGGTGTTTTTCAACAATATTTTTATTCTTGAATCCTGAAACCAGTTATTCAACCCCAGATCAAATGTATGACAAAGGGTCACAAATTATCTCAGCGTTTAAATACAATGATATCTTGGTGATCTGATTACTTCCAGACAACTTGGTCCAGTCTAACAGAACCCATTGTACAAGCAGAACAACCATGTGTCATTGAAATGATGAGAGATAGTTGACTAGTCAATGAAAGTCAGTTTTTATGTCTTTACAGACTATGTGTGCGAAGGTGTAGACCTGAGTGGTATTGAGGTGATTGAAACGGACCGGAGGTTCATCAAGCAGGCGAGGAAGGAGGTGGAGACACAGGCCCAGAAGATGCTGGAGCAGGGCATGGAGACGCAGGTAACACTTGACGCTCACTCACCTTTAACTCTTACCTTTCTCACACCTGTCTCTCTCCATTTACCTGTCCGGTATCACTCCAACGCCTCTCCCATGCTTGATTACAAGAGATGATTGTGGCAATGCTGTGGACACAGTTACTTTGCTGCTTATCACATTTCCAGTGTATTTTGTTCACCTATTTATACATCCACTGGTGTAATCCACAGAACCAAACCCAGGTGGCCACAGCCCTCCAGGTGTTCCACAACCTCACCAGTCTCCACACAGTGGTGGAGAAGGTCATCAATGGCTGTAAGGAGACATTACACGGCAGTGTGAGGAGTTCTATCAACGTACAGACCTTATCACATGCACAGGGTACCAGCAGAGGTTAGACTTGTGTATAATACATTCTCAAACATCTAGAGTAGCCTGGTAGATCCATGAACCTGAATGAAGGAGCAATCAGTATGTAAAGATGACAACTATACCATTTACTGGACATGGCTTACGCAGTGGTAACTGGCTAAGGCTGCAGGCTGTCGCTCCCGCTGCACCAATCTTACATGCCTCTTGGGCCCTTAGGGTTAGTTTGTGGGCTTGGGTAGGTTACCCTCTTGGATCCCCTTTACAATCCTGCAGGTTGCAACAGTAGCTAGGGTTATCTTGAGGTAGGGTATGGGTTAGCTATCACATATGACAAACTGAAATGTAAATTGGAGAAATGATGTAAGCATGTTTGCAGGGAGAATTATTGTTCCTGACTTAATCTAGCCTAGGGACTTCTATAGAATGTGTAGACACAACTGATCAGGATTGTACAACTCTGGACATACTGCAGGTCCTGGGAAAGCTGCTATGCCAGCGCCGGGCAACACTGCCGCCATGAGAGCCTCACTGTGGACCAACATGGAACAGCTGATGGACAGCATCTACGCCTCGTGCGCCCAGGTGAGTACAGGAGGGGAAGGGAGATAGAGAGAAAGGGGGAAGGGGACAAAGATCAACTGATGGACAGCATCTACGCCTCGTGTGCCCATGTATGAACAGGAATGGGAGTAAGGGAGATGGAGGTGGGGGGGTGGGTGCTGTCGGCAGCCTATGGATGGCATGTTATGCCTAGTGCCCTGGTATGTACAGGAGAGGGAGTAAGGGAGATGGAGGTGGGGGTGGGTGCTGTCGGCAGCCTATGGATGGCATGTTATGCCTAGTGCTCAGGTATGTACAGGAGAGGGAGTAAGGGAGATGGAGGTGGGGGTGGGTGCTGTCGGCAGCCTATGGATGGCATGTTATGCCTAGTGCCCAGGTATGTACAGGAGAGGGAGTAAGGGAGATGGAGGTGGGGGGTGGGTGCTGTCGGCAGCCTATGGATGGCACCTTATGCCTAGTGCTCAGGCGTGTACAGGAAGGTGATGTCAAAGGGTAACTGCTGGATGCATATATACTTTGTGTGCCATGGTGAGAGTTGACAAGCAGGTATAAAGATTTTGACCTGTTTATTCTTGGGTACAGATGCTGGTACCCTTATCAACCAAGTGTTGAGCTCATGTTATCTGGCCTGTTCTTTGTTCAGATTCAACATCTCCAGAAGGTGCTGGTGAAGAAGCGTGACCCAGTCACCCATGTGTGCTTCATCGAGGAGCTGGCCAAGGTAAGGATACTGGTAGCTGGGGATGAGGCGACCATGTTTGCATAACATCTTATTGGGGTTGGATGTGTTCATTCAGACGATAGGAGAGTAAAGATCTAAGATATGGATTGAACACTATTGAGCCTCAAACATTGAAATCCATATGACCTTTGAGGGGGTCACTAACATATACTTGACATACAAAAATAGGCCAACTGCCAATATTTATATCTGTGTTGACTGGTTTGTAGTTATGTTGACCCCGAGTAAATATTGGGTGTGTGCTTGACATAGTGTACTTCATAACTATACTAGCAACACAGAATACTCTGAAAAGAAAGTTTATGGTCTTGCAGCATCGTCACGGAGATGTGAACATTATGCAGGAGTTTTGGGAGAGTGTTACCAACATGTTAACTTCAGAGTTCAACGGTGCCGCAGAAAGTGAGTAATAGTACTACGACACAGATTTGCTGCCTCAGCCTTTGGAGGTCAGAGTCTTTGATTTATTGTGATGTGTGACATACCTGAACATGACATGTGACATACCTGAACATGACGTGTGACATGCCTGAGAATGGCGTATGACATGCCTGAGAATGGAGTATGACATACCTGAGAATGACATTGTGACATACCTGAACATGATGTGTGGCATGCCTGAGAATGGCGTATGACATGCCTGAGAATGGAGTATGACATACCAGAGAATGACATTGTGACATACCTGAACATGACGTGTGACATGCCTGAGAATGGCGTATGACATGCCTGAGAATGGAGTATGACATACCTGAGAATGACATTGTGACATGCCTGACATGCCGTGTGACATGCCTGAACATGACATGTGACGTGCCTGAACATGATGTGTTACATGCCTGAACGTGACGTGTCACATACCTGAACATGACGTGTGACGTGCCTGAACATGACGTGTGACATGCCTGAACATGATATATGACACACCTGAACACGATATGTGACATGCCTGAACATGACATGTGACATGCCTGAACATGGATTGTCACTTATCCTTTTGTTCACTGTTTGCCTGGTGATTTACACATCCATGTGATGCATCTGAGGACATGTCCATGGCCAACACTTGCAGCTCACATTCACATTCACATTCGCACCAAACATTTCTTCCAAACTATGTATCATATCAACATCACATCCCAATAACTTGATTATTGATGCAGAATACAATTTTCAAGCCAACCTCTCCTCCTGGAAAGTCTTTGGACATATTACTTTCAATTAGAGGATGTCCTTATAACCTATTGAGTAATACTTTTCTCAGATGTCATTAGATTACTCAAACAGATGTTTTCAATGTTCTCCAGCCTCCATGTTCCTGAAGCAAGCCTTTGAGGGTGAATATCCCAAACTGTTACGTCTGTACAATGATCTGTGGAAGCGACTCCACCAATTCAGCATCAATATGATGGTGACCCCGACCGCTGCCCCGGACGTCCCCTCTATTGATGACACCAAGGAAGTAGACTTCTTTGTGCAAACTGCAAGGAACAAGGAAAATGCTTACGAGTGAGTCTAAGTTCTCAAACCTGTTTGGTCTGTTACATAGTCCCATAGAGATTTCTTGTTCGAGTTCAACCCCAGTAAATTATACTGGGTTGTCAGAGGACCTGGTGGCCAGACTCACTGCCCTGGTTGAAATAGCATGTCCACATATCCATATTTGCTCCTTGATACAATCTCTTAAGTTATATATCATGCTACCGGATATGTCTTGAAGTCATTTCAGGTGGGTGCAGTCAGAATGCCTCATGAGCAGCTCTTGCCATGGTATGATAATGTCTTTGCATATTCTTTTAGCTCTGAGAAGGCACTGAGAGAAACTCTGTCCAACTTTGAGAATGCATACCTGTCCAAATCTCTGTCTCGGTTGTTCGACCCAATCAACTTGGTGTTCTCCAGTGGAACAGCCAACCCACCAACACACGAAGAGGTGGACAACATCGTTAAGACAATAACAAGGTAATGTATTGCTAGTACTGAGCCTTTGATAGATTGTGATTTGTGAAAACAAATTGGGGAGATTCAATTACAGCTTCAAATTAGACTAAACATGGAGGTTGTGTTCATTTCCAGAGCAGATCTTACAAAACCTATTATGAGACACATACACCCATCTATTGTTCAGCTGGAGTCCTTTGATACACATGACATGTATACCTGACAGGAGTTTATAACTGGAGATGATACTGATGACAATTTGTGTTGCCAGTGAGCTGAATGTGGCCAGTGTGGACGGGAAACTCAGCGTCACCGTGGCCAAGAACGTTGCCAAGACTGTGCAGCTGTTCTGTGTGAAGAGTGAACAGCTGGTAAGTAGTATTTCACAGCACAAGGTCAACTAGTACCATTGTCTAGACAGTGAAATAACAGCTGGTAAGTAGTATTTCACAGCACAAGGTCAACTATTACCGTTGTCTAGACAGTGAAATAACAGCTGGTAAGTAGTATTTCACAGCACAAGGTCAACTAGTACAGTGAAATAACAGCTGGTAAGTAGTATTTAGCACAAGGTCAAATAAGTACCGCTTGACAGTGAAATAACAGCTGGTAAGTAGTATTTCACAGCACAAGGTCAACTAGTACCGTTGTCTAGACAGTGAAATTTGGACAGTAAAGTAGAACTCGCTCTAACTAGATCTTTACAGAGTACTTTTAACCATTTAAAGTTATATCTGGCATCATAAAAGGAGGAAAAATTATAAAATACTCTGCAAGATGATATGTAGATGACAATTCTTCGCATCTTGCCATAGCTATCGACGGACGGCGAGGCTAGCCAGGTGATTGGAGCCCCGACAGCCGGACAGTCCCGGAACTCCTGCGTGGTAAACACTCTGTACCAGCTGCACCAGGCTGTCGTCAAGGTAACCCCCTTGTTCTGTGTTGTATGTATGAACAGGTGTCTGGAAAGGGTAATCACAGGCTGTCACAAGAGGCGGCTTCACTGATCCAGTGACTTGGCTGACTGCATGTTGTTGTATTCTGATGACATCGATGGTTGCTCATTATTCTCTGGCCAGCCCCAGTTATATGAAGACAGTTGTCATGTTGCTTATGTGGCAAGGCACCAAGGTATGATCTGAATCATATCACTTCACGCTGTGGGAAGCTAGCCTAGTTGTTAAAGTGAAATGGTACCTGGTTTCAGTTCCAACTTTATTGCTTACAGTCATCTTACTGAATAAAGTTGCAGTCAATGTGACTTGCTCTATCACTCATACATGTAATTTGATCTTGATTCAACCCGTGAAGATCCGGGTTAGAGGTGATCTTCAGTAACCCATGCTTGTCGTAAGAGGTGACTAATCGGATCAGGCTCGCTGACTTGGTTGACACATGTCATCATATCCCAATTGCATAAGTCAATGCTCATGCTGTTGATCACTGGATTTTCTGGTCCAGACTCAATTATTTTCAGACCCCCGCCATATAGCTGGAATAATGCTGAGTGCAGCATAAAGCAAAACTCACTCACTCACTAAATCTTGATTGACAATTTGAGCCTTAAAGTGTTAAAGTCATGGACAAACCTTCCAGGTGATGAGTGGAATGGATGCCTACCCAAAGGAAGCCATTAGCAGCATCGAGGCAGCATTACAGGTATGTCTGTCTTGTTATATCACATTAGTGATACTTCTTAAGGTCTACAGGTATAACTCATTATGTCACAGCTACAGCAGGACAGGTATATCTGGTTATAACACTACTACAGCAGGGCAGGTATATCTGGTTATGTCACAGCTACAGCAGGGCAGGTATATCTGGTTATGCCACAGCTACATCAGGACAGGTATATCTGGTTATAACACTACTACAGCAGGACAGGTATATCTCGTTATGCCACAGCTACAGCAGGACAGGTATATCTCGTTATGCCACAGCTACAGCAGGACAGGTATATCTGGTTATGTCACAGCTACAGCAGGACAGGTATATCTCGTTATGCAACAGCTACAGCAGGACAGGTATATCTCGTTATGCCACAGCTACAGCAGGACAGGTATATCTCGTTATGCCACAGCTACAGCAGGACAGGTATATCTCGTTATGCCACAGCTACAGCAGGACAGGTATATCTCGTTATGCCACAGCTACAGCAGGACGGGTATATCTGGTTATGTCACAGCTACAGCAGGACAGGTATATCTTGTTATAACACTACTACAGCAGGGTAGGTATATCTTGTTATAACACTACTACAGCAGGATAGGTATATCTGGTTATAACACTACTACAGCAGGGTAGGTATATCTTGTTATAACACTACTACAGCAGGGCAGGTACATCTCGTTATGCCACAGCTACAGCAGGACAGGTATATCTGGTTATAACACTACTACAGCAGGGCAGGTATATCTGGTTATGCCACAGCTACATCAGGACAGGTATATCTGGTTATAACACTACTACAGCAGGGCAGGTATATCTTGTTATAACACTACTACAGCAGGGCAGGTATATCTTGTTATGTCACAGCTACAGCAGGACAGGTATATCTGGTTATAACACTACTACAGCAGGGCAGGTATATCTTGTTATGCCACAGCTACATCAGGACAGGTATATCTGGTTATAACACTACTACAGCAGGGCAGGTATATCTTGTTATAACACTACTACAGCAGGGCAGGTATATCTTGTTATGTCACAGCTACAGCAGGACAGGTATATCTGGTTATAACACTACTACAGCAGGGCAGGTATATCTTGTTATGCCACAGCTACATCAGGACAGGTATATCTGGTAATAACACTACTAAAGCAGGGCAGGTATATCTTGTTATAACACTACTACAGCAGGGCAGGTACATCTCGTTATGTCACAGCTACAGCAGGACAGGTATATCTGGTTATAACACTACTACAGCAGGGCAGGTATATCTTGTTATGCCACAGCTACATCAGGACAGGTATATCTGGTTATAACACTACTACAGCAGGGCAGGTATATCTGGTTATGCCACAGCTACATCAGGACAGGTATATCTGGTTATAACACTACTACAGCAGGGCAGGTATATCTGGTTATAACACTACTACAGCAGGGCAGGTATATCTGGTTATGCCACAGCTACAGCAGGGACAGGTATATCTGGTTTATAACACTACTACAGCAGGGTAGGTATATCTAGTTATACCACAGCTACAGCAGGACAGGTATATCTCGTTATGCCACAGCTACAGCAGGACAGGTATATCTGGTTATAACACTACTACAGCAGGGCAGGTATATCTGGTTATGCCACTAGCTACAGCAGGACAGGTATATCTGGTTATAACACACTACTACAGCAGGGCAGGGCAGGTATATCTGGTTATAACACTACTACAGCAGGGCAGGTATATCTCGTTATGCCACAGCTACAGCAGGACAGGTATATCTGGTTATAACACTACTACAGCAGGGTAGGTATATCTCGTTATGCCACAGCTACAGCAGGACAGGTATATCTCGTTATGCCACAGCTACAGCAGGACAGGTATATCTGGTTATAACACTACTACAGCAGGGCAGGTATATCTGGTTATGCCACAGCTACAGCAGGACAGGTATATCTCGTTATGCCACAGCTACAGCAGGGCAGGTATATCTGGTTATGTCACAGCTACAGCAGGACAGGTATATCTGGTTATAACACTACTACAGCAGGGTAGGTATATCTCGTTATGCCACAGCTACAGCAGGACAGGTATATCTCGTATGCCACAGCTACAGCAGGACAGGTATATCTGGTTATAACACTACTACAGCAGAGCAGGTATATCTGGTTATAACACTACTACAGCAGGGCAGGTATATCTGGTTATAACACTACTACAGCAGGGTAGGTATATCTCGTTATGCCACAGCTACAGCAGGACAGGTATATCTCGTTATGCCACAGCTACAGCAGGACAGGTATGTCTGGTTATAACACTACTACAGCAGGGCAGGTATATCTGGTTATGCCACAGCTACAGCAGGACAGGTATATCTGGTTATAACACTACTACAGCAGGGTAGGTATATCTCGTTATGCCACAGCTACAGCAGGACAGGTATATCTCGTTATGCCACAGCTACAGCAGGACAGGTATATCTTGTTATGCCACAGCTACAGCAGGACAGGTATATCTTGTTATGCCACAGCTACAGCAGGACAGGTATATCTTGTTATGCCACAGCTACAGCAGGACAGGTATATCTTGTTATGCCACAGCTACAGCAGGACAGGTATATCTTGTTATTCCACAGCTACAGCAGGACAGGTATATCTTGTTATGTCACAGCTACAGCAGGACACGTATATCTCGTTATGCCACAGCTACAGCAGGACAGGTATATCTGGTTATGTCACAGCTTCAGCAGGACAGGTATATCTGGTTATAACACTACTACAGCAGGACAGGTATATCTGGTTATGCCACAGCTACAGCAGGACAGGTATATCTGGTTATAACACTACTACAGCAGGACAGGTATATCTTGTTATAACACTACTACAGCAGGGCAGGTATATCTTGTTATGTCACAGCTACAGCAGGACAGGTATATCTCGTTATGTCACAGCTACAGCAGGACAGGTATATCTCGTTATGTCACAGCTACAGCAGGACAGGTATATCTCGTTATGCCACAGCTACAGCAGGGCAGGTATATCTGGTTATGTCACAGCTACAGCAGGACAGGTATATCTGGTTATAACACTACTACAGCAGGACAGGTATATCTGGTTATGCCACAGCTACAGCAGGACAGGTATATCTTGTTATGCCACAGCTACAGCAGGACAGGTATATCTCGTTATGTCACAGCTACAGCAGGACAGGTATATCTCGTTATGCCACAGCTACAGCAGGGCAGGTATATCTGGTTATGTCACAGCTACAGCAGGACAGGTATATCTTGTTATAACACTACTACAGCAGGACAGGTATATCTGGTTATGCCACAGCTACAGCAGGACAGGTATATCTTGTTATGCCACAGCTACAGCAGGACAGGTATATCTCGTTATGTCACAGCTACAGCAGGACAGGTATATCTCGTTATGTCACAGCTACAGCAGGACAGGTATATCTCGTTATGCCACAGCTACAGCAGGGCAGGTATATCTGGTTATGTCACAGCTACAGCAGGACAGGTATATCTGGTTATAACACTACTACAGCAGGACAGGTATATCTGGTTATGCCACAGCTACAGCAGGACAGGTATATCTGGTTATAACACTACTACAGCAGGGCAGGTATATCTGGTTATAACACTACTACAGCAGGACAGGTATATCTTGTTATGCCACAGCTACAGCAGGACAGGTATATCTCGTTATGTCACAGCTACAGCAGGACAGGTATATCTCGTTATGTCACAGCTACAGCAGGACAGGTATATCTCGTTATGCCACGCTACAGCAGGGCAGGTATATCTGGTTATGTCACAGCTACAGCAGGACAGGTATATCTGGTTATAACACTACTACAGCAGGACAGGTATATCTGGTTATGCCACAGCTACAGCAGGACAGGTATATCTTGTTATGCCACAGCTACAGCAGGACAGGTATATCTCGTTATGTCACAGCTACAGCAGGACAGGTATATCTCGTTATGTCACAGCTACAGCAGGACAGGTATATCTCGCTTATGTCACAGCTACAGCAGGACAGGTATATCTCGTTATGCCACAGCTACAGCAGGGCAGGTATATCTGGTTATGTCACAGCTACAGCACAGGGACAGGTATATCTGGTTATGCCACAGCTACAGCAGGACAGGTATATCTGGTTATAACACTACTACAGCAGGACAGGTATATCTGGTTATGCCACAGCTACAGCAGGACAGGTATATCTGGTTATAACACTACTACAGCAGGACAGGTATATCTGGTTATGCCACAGCTACAGGACAGGTACAGGTATATCTGGTTATAACACTACTACAGCAGGGCAGGTATATCTCGTTATGTCACAGCTACAGCAGGACAGGTATATCTCGTTATGTCACAGCTACAGCAGGACAGGTATATCTCGTTATGTCACAGCTACAGCAGGACAGGTATATCTCGTTATGCCACAGCTACAGCAGGGCAGGTATATCTGGTTATGTCACAGCTACAGCAGGACAGGTATATCTGGTTATAACACTACTACAGCAGGACAGGTATATCTGGTTATGCCACAGCTACAGCAGGACAGGTATATCTTGTTATGCCACAGCTACAGCAGGACAGGTATATCTCGTTATGTCACAGCTACAGCAGGACAGGTATATCTCGTTATGTCACAGCTACAGCAGGACACGTATATCTCGTTATGCCACAGCTACAGCAGGGCAGGTACATCTGGTTATGTCACAGCTACAGCAGGACAGGTATATCTGGTTATAACACTACTACAGCAGGACAGGTATATCTGGTTATGCCACAGCTACAGCAGGACAGGTATATCTGGTTATAACACTACTACAGCAGGGCAGGTATATCTGGTTATAACACTACTACAGCAGGACAGGTATATCTCGTTATGTCACAGCTACATCAGGACAGGTATATCTTGTTATGCCACAGCTACAGCAGGACACGTATATCTCGTTATGCCACAGCTACATCAGGACAGGTATATCTCGTTATGTCACAGCTACAGCAGGACACGTGATATCCTCGTTATGCCACAGCTACAGCAGGGCAGGTACATCTGGTTATGTCACAGCTACAGCAGGACAGGTATATCTGGTTATAACACTACTACAGCAGGACAGGTATATCTCGTTATGTCACAGCTACACGGACAGGACAGGTATATCTGGTTATAACACTACTACAGCAGGGCAGGTATATCTGGTTATAACACTACTACAGCAGGGCAGGTATATCTCTTGGTTATGTCACAGCTACATCAGGACAGGTATATCTGGTTATAACACTACTACAGCAGGACAGGTATATCTTGTTATGTCACAGCTACGGCAGGACAGGTATATCTGGTTATAACACTACTACAGCAGGACAGGTATATCTGGTTATAACACTACTACAGCAGGACAGGTACATCTCGTTATGCCACAGCTACAGCAGGACAGGTATATCTTGTTATGCCACAGCTACAGCAGGACAGGTATATCTGGTTATGCCACAGCTACAGCAGGACAGGTATATCTGGTTATAACACTACTACAGCAGGGCAGGTATATCTGGTTATAACACTACTACAGCAGGGCAGGTATATCTCGTTATGCCACAGCTACAGCAGGACAGGTATATCTGGTTATAACACTACTACAGCAGGGTAGGTATATCTCGTTATGCCACAGCTACAGCAGGGCAGGTACATCTCGTTATGCCACAGCTACAGCAGGACAGGTATATCTAGTTGTAACACAGCTACAGCAGGACAGGTATATCTGGTTGTAACTAGAGCTGTGTATTGTGGCCTAAGTGGCGAGACGATATATCCCGATACTAGTTTAATGAGGCGAGACGATATATCATGAAAGTATTGGCAAGGAACCTGCGAGACGATTATCATCACGATACAGTGATGGCGATACGATACTTATCCCGATACTTTACAATCCTAAAAACAGGACATATATGATAGATAAAATGACCGAATCTATATTTGTTATTCAGCAGAGCATGTGTTACATTCACACACACTTAAAAGGCTGTTCATGTAATAAAGTTTCAGCATTTAATGCCTAAAGGTCACATGCAACGTAAAACACAACTTTGCAGATTCTGATACCTTTCGGTATGGACATACCGAAACAAATCGCCAAAAATGCAAATTCAACTTATAAAGTTGAAAAATAACGCGATGAAGAAAAACGCGCAAAATCGGAGTTCAAACGTTTCACTAGTTTTCCCCAGACTTCTCTGGGGAAAACGGGTTTCAACAGCTGGGCTGCGCTCATAGCACGTGCGCAAGTAAATAGGTTCACGCAGCTTGGAAGCGGGTTGTCAGGTGAATACTCCGTGAAGGCTTTGGTGTGAGCTATTTTCTAATGTTTTGTTGATATCTCACAGGCGCGAGCTTTTATATGTTATGACAGTAAATTAACTGTTTATATAATTTCATTTGTCTATTTCACCACACGTTCTTCTTACCGAGACACTTTCTCAGTTCGATACTTAAAAGCAATGTCATTATTTAGCGTTGACAGAATTTCTAACTGATATATAGATATGTCGTTGTCACAGACAAAACTCAATTTCTTGTTTTATTGACACCTGTGTGTGTGTCTGCCTGCCTGTCTGCTAATGACAATATTCTACACAACTGCGATCACTGACCACATGCAATTTGAACTTAACACCAATCAGGCTATACACCATAAACAAAATGTATTGATTTATGGCCCGAGTTCGGTCTCTGTCACATTATGTAATTACACAGACAGGTAGGTGTGATACTTGAACACATGACATGTTATGATGTGTGTTGATTGCAAAATGTTATACACAAAAAATGAGCATGTATTTACAAAACCCAACATCTCTATATATATATACACACAATTAGCCGTGAAGGCATCTACAAATGAACCAGCCGTTACACTTGAGTGCACACCCACCCGCTCTGACTGGGTTCGGTATCCCGCTGCTTCGCTTTCTTGGGAAGTAAACCCGAAGTACACAATTTTGCACTTTCGATTTGGCGATTGTACGCTTATAAATTTTGTTTATATATTTTTCATAACCAGCAATGTATATTATATGTCATGAATAAGGATAATTGTGTTTTAATTATGTTTGATTTTTGGTTGCATGTGACCTTTATAAAACATGTTTCAATTACTTAAAGACAAGTCTTTACAGTTCACAGAGATTGTTCACATGCTTTCACTGATACACTAACTCCTTTGTTCATGTAACAAAGATGGCAGACACAAACAAATTCCTTTTAGGTTCAGTTTGTTTTTAAAATTCAGAAAAATTTCAAAGAGACTCCTTTCCTATTACTTATGCATTACTCCCTACAACTTTAAGTAATATTTAAGTAGTATCGGGATATATCGTCTCTGGTGGCGATACATCGATGTATCATGGACCCTCGCGATATATATATCCTGATATATTGCCTAAACGTGTTTTGTATCGATGCACTCGTATCGCGTAGTTGACGATGCAAACATCGATACTATCGATGAATCGTTACACCACTAGTTGTAACACAGCTACAGCAGGACAGGTATATCTGGTTGTAACACTCTTGTATAACACTATGCTTCCTGGTGTTGTAGAAAGCTGCTGTTATTTCAGGGCGTCGTGGCTCTCATGGGTGCCGCCATCAACCCGCTGCTGTCTTCCATCTCAGATGCTCTGGAGGCTATCATCCTCACCATACACCAGGAAGACTTCTCAGGGTAGGTGGCACATCTGTCCTGGATATTCCGGGCTTGTGCTGCATGTTCTGAGACTCTTATCATTGTTCTCTACATATTGTCTTTACATTTCTGTAGCCCAGCCCCTAGTGTCAACCAGACTGAGGCTCAGCGTTCTCTGTATATTGACCTTTGTATTTCTGTCTTGTAGCCCTGCCACTAGTGACAACCAGGCTCAGTGTTCTCTGTATATTGACCTTTGTATTTCTGTCTTGTAGCCCAGCCCCTAGTGACAACCAGACTGAGGCTCAGTGTTCTCTATATATTGACCTTTGTATTTCTGTCTTGTAGCCCCACCCCTAGTGACAACCAGACTGAAGCTCAGTGTTCTCTATATATTGACCTTTGTATTTCTGTCTTGTAGCCCCGCCCCTAGTGACAACCAGGCTCAGTGTTCTCTGTATATCCACCTTTGTATTTCTGTCTTGTAGCCCCACCCCTAGTGTCAACCAGGCTCAGTGTTCTCTGTATATTGACCTTTGTATTTCTGTCTTGTAGCCCCGCCCCTAGTGACAACCAGGCTCAGTGTTCTCTGTATATTGACCTTTGTATTTCTGTCTTGTAGCCCCACCTAGTGACAACCAGGCTCAGTGTTCTCTGTATATTGACCTTTGTATTTCTGTCTTGTAGCCCCTACTCTAGTGACAACCAGGCTCAGTGTTCTCTGTATATTGACCTTTGTATTTCTGTCTTGTAGCCCTCCCCTAGTGACAACCAGGCTCAGTGTTCTCTGTATATTGACCTTTGTATTTCTGTCTTATAGCCCTCACTCTAGTGACAACCAGACTCAGTGTTCTCTGAATATTGACCTTTGTATTTCTTGTCTTGTAGCCCTCACTCCTAGTGACAACCAGACTCAGTGTTCTCTGAATATTGACCTTTGTATTTCTGTCTTGTAGCCCCACTCCTAGTGACAACCAGGCTCAGTGTTCTCTGTATATTGACCTTTGTATTTCTGTCTTGTAGCCCCTACTCTAGTGACAACCAGACTCAGTGTTCTCTGAATATTGACCTTTGTATTTCTGTCTTGTAGTCCCACTCTAGTGACAACCAGACTCAGTGTTCTCTGAATATTGACCTTTGTATTTCTATCTTGTAGCCCCACTCCTAGTGACAACCAGGCTCAGTGTTCTCTGTATATTGACCTTTGTATTTGTCTTGTAGCCCCAGCTCCTAGTGACAACCAGGCTCAGTGTTCTCTATATATTGACCTTTGTATTTCTGTCTTGTAGCCCCACTCTAGTGACAACCAGACTCAGTGTTCTCTCTGAATATTGACCTTTGTATTTCTGTCTTGTAGCCCCACCCCTAGTGACAACCAGGCTCAGTGTTCTCTGTATATTGACCTTTGTATTTCTGTCTTGTAGCCCCACCCTAGTGACAACCAGGCTCAGTGTTCTCTATATATTGACCTTTGTATTTCTTGTCTTGTAGCCCTCACTCCTAGTGACAACCAGGCTCAGTGTTCTCTGTATATTGACCTTTGTATTTCTGTCTTATAGCCCCGCCCCTAGTGACAACCAGGCTCAGTGTTCTCTGTATATCCACCTTTGTATTTCTGTCTTGTAGCCCCACCCCTAGTGTCAACCAGGCTCAGTGTTCTCTGTATATTGACCTTTGTATTTCTGTCTTGTAGCCCAAATTCCTAGTGACAACCAGGCTCAGTGTTCTCTGTATATTGACCTTTGTATTTCTGTCTTGTAGCCCCTACCCCTAGTGACAACCAGGCTCAGTGTTCTCTGTATATTGACCTTTGTATTTCTGTCTTGTAGCCCCTACTCCTAGTGACAACCAGGCTCAGTGTTCTCTGTATATTGACCTTTGTATTTCTGTCTTGTAGCCCCACCCCTAGTGACAACCAGGCTCAGTGTTCTCTGTATATTGACCTTTGTATTTCTGTCTTATAGCCCCACTTCTAGTGACAACCAGACTCAGTGTTCTCTGAATATTGACCTTTGTATTTCTGTCTTGTAGCCCCACTCTAGTGACAACCAGACTCAGTGTTCTCTGAATATTGACCTTTGTATTTCTGTCTTGTAGCCCCACCTCTAGTGACAACCAGGCTCAGTGTTCTCTGTATATTGACCTTTGTATTTCTGTCTTGTAGCCCCCCTCCTAGTGACAACCAGACTCAGTGTTCTCTGAATATTGACCTTTGTATTTCTGTCTTGTAGTCCCACTCTAGTGACAACCAGACTCAGTGTTCTCTGAATATTGACCTTTGTATTTCTGTCTTGTAGCCCCGCCCCTAGTGACAACCAGGCTCAGTGTTCTCTGTATATTGACCTTTGTATTTGTCTTGTAGCCCCACCCTAGTGACAACCAGGCTCAGTGTTCTCTATATATTGACCTTTGTATTTCTGTCTTGTAGCCCCACCCTAGTGACAACCAGACTCAGTGTTCTCTGAATATTGACCTTTGTATTTCTGTCTTGTAGTCCCGCCCCTAGTGACAACCAGACTCAGTGTTCTCTGAATATTGACCTTTGTATTTCTGTCTTGTAGCCCCTCACTCCTAGTGACAACCAGGCTCAGTGTTCTCTGTATATTGACCTTTGTATTTGTCTTGTAGCCCCTACTCTAGTGACAACCAGGCTCAGTGTTCTCTATATATTGACCTTTGTATTTCTGTCTTGTAGCCCTTCACCCTAGTGACAACCAGGCTCAGTGTTCTCTGAATATTGACCTTTGTATTTCTGTCTTGTAGCCCCGCTACTCTAGTGACAACCAGACTCAGTGTTCTCTGAATATTGACCTTTGTATTTCTGTCTTGTAGTCCCACCCTAGTGACAACCAGGCTCAGTGTTCTCTGAATATTGACCTTTGTATTTCTGTCTTGTAGCCCCACCCCTAGTGACAACCAGGCTCAGTGTTCTCTGTATATTGACCTTTGTATTTCTGTCTTGTAGCCCCACCCTTAGTGACAACCAGGCTCAGTGTTCTCTGTATATTGACCTTTGTATTTCTGTCTTGTAGCCCCGCCCCTAGTGACAACCAGGCTCAGTGTTCTCTGTATATTGACCTTTGTATTTCTGTCTTGTAGTCCCACCCTTAGTGACAACCAGGCTCAGTGTTCTCTGTATATTGACCTTTGTATTTCTGTCTTGTAGCCCCCACCCCTAGTGACAACCAGACTCAGTGTTCTCTCTGAATATTGACCTTTGTATTTCTGTCTTGTAGCCCCACCCTAGTGACAACCAGGCTCAGTGTTCTCTGAATATTGACCTTTGTATTTCTGTCTTGTAGCCCCACCCCTCTAGTGACAACCAGGCTCAGTGTTCTCTGTATATTGACCTTTGTATTTCTGTCTTGTAGCCCCACCCTAGTGACAACCAGGCTCAGTGTTCTCTGTATATTGACCTTTGTATTTCTGTCTTGTAGCCCCTACTCCTAGTGACAACCAGGCTCAGTGTTCTCTGTATATTGACCTTTGTATTTCTGTCTTGTAGCCCCACCCCTAGTGACAACCAGGCTCAGTGTTCTCTGTATATTGACCTTTGTATTTCTGTCTTGTAGCCCCACCCCTAGTGACAACCAGACTCAGTGTTCTCTGTATATTGACCTTTGTATTTCTGTCTTGTAGCCCCACCCCTAGTGACAACCAGACTCAGTGTTCTCTGTATATTGACCTTTGTATTTCTGTCTTGTAGCCCCACCCCTAGTGACAACCAGGCTCAGTGTTCTCTGTATATTGACCTTTGTATTTCTGTCTTGTAGCCCCACCCCTAGTGACAACCAGGCTCAGTGTTCTCTGTATATTGACCTTTGTATTTCTGTCTTGTAGCCCCGCCCCTAGTGACAACCAGACTGAGGCTCAGTGTTCTCTGTATATTGACCTTTGTATTTCTGTCTTGTAGCCCCGCCCCTAGTGACAACCGAGGCTCAGTGTTCTCTGTATATTGACCTTTGTATTTCTGTCTTGTAGCCCCACCCCTAGTGACAACCAGGCTCAGTGTTCTCTGTATATTGACCTTTGTATTTCTGTCTTGTAGCCCCACCCCTAGTGACAACCAGGCTCAGTGTTCTCTGTATATTGACCTTTGTATTTCTGTCTTGTAGCCCCTCACCCTGTGTAGTGACAACCAGGCTCAGTGTTCTCTGTATATTGACCTTTGTATATTTCTTGTAGCCCCCCCTAGTGACAACCAGCCCTCACTTGTAGCCCCTCCCTAGTGACAACCAGGCTCAGTATTGACCTTTGTATTTCTGTCTTGTAGCCCCACCCTAGTGACAACCAGGCTCAGTGTTCTCTGTATATTGACCTTTGTATTTCTGTCTTGTAGCCCCACTAGTGACAACCAGGCTCAGTGTTCTCTGTATATTGACCTTTGTATTTCTGTCTTGTAGCCCCACCCCTAGTGACAACCAGGCTCAGTGTTCTCTGTATATTGACCTTTGTATTTCTGTCTTGTAGCCCCACCCCTAGTGACAACCAGGCTCAGTGTTCTCTGTATATTGACCTTTGTATTTCTGTCTTGTAGCCCCACCCCTAGTGACAACCAGACTCAGTGTTCTCTGAATATTGACCTTTGTATTTCTGTCTTGTAGCCCCACCCCTAGTGACAACCAGACTCCAGGTTCTCAGTGTTCTCTGTATATTGACCTTTGTATTTCTGTCTTGTAGCCCCCACCCCTAGTGACAACCAGACTCAGTGTTCTCTGTATATTGACCTTTGTATTTCTGTCTTGTAGCCCCACCCTAGTGACAACCAGACTCAGTGTTCTCTGTATATTGACCTTTGTATTTCTGTCTTGTAGCCCCACCCCTAGTGACAACCAGACTCAGTGTTCTCTGTATATTGACCTTTGTATTTCTGTCTTGTAGCCCCGCCCCTAGTGACAACCAGACTCAGTGTTCTCTGTATATTGACCTTTGTATTTCTGTCTTGTAGCCCCACCCCTAGTGACAACCAGACTCAGTGTTCTCTGAATATTGACCTTTGTATTTCTGTCTTGTAGCCCCGCCCCTAGTGACAACCAGACTCAGTGTTCTCTGTATATTGACCTTTGTATTTCTGTCTTGTAGCCCCGCCCCTAGTGACAACCAGGCTCAGTGTTCTCTGTATATTGACCTTTGTATTTCTGTCTTGTAGCCCCGCCCCTAGTGACAACCAGACTGAGGCTCAGTGTTCCCTGTACATGCGGGAGCTGCAGGGCTTTGTGTTGCGATGTCAGTCGGACTACCTCTCTCAGTTCCGTTGTCGAGACTTCATCATGGACAGGTCAGTCAGAACAATGATGATAATCATAATTCCATCTTCAGAAACACTTTTTGTAATGTGGATCATGAATCAGGAGGCAAGATACTAGATAGTCAGTTATTGGGTTGAGTATTCCAGCCCCTTCATTGCCAACCATACTGTGAGAACCAGCCATTCTCTCTCATAAAAGTGATGGCTTCTAGACATACTAAACTTTGTCCAGTCAGTTGTTTTCATCTTCCATCCAGCATCCACCCTGTTGCCTGTCGGTGTGCAGACCTGTTCATCCGTCACGCCAGTCTCACGCGACCTCTTGGCGAGGGAGGCAAACTGCGACTTGCGGCTGACTTTGCACAAATGGAGCTAGCGATTTCCCCATTTTGCAGGAGAGTGTCGGACCTTGGCAAGGCATATAAACTACTCCGGTCTTTCAGGTAGGAAAACAGCCTTATATAGATCAATATTTACAAGTTGCCTGGCAACAAACAATCCTTCAGATCACCAGGGCCTTCAAGACAAGTGACCCATATTTAGCACACAGAAATCAAGCAACCTTATGTTGTGACTCTTTTTCTGTCATCCATGCAGTAGTCATGTCATCCATCTTTAATGATTACATGTGCGACATTTCCACTGAAACCACAGTAACTGTATGGATGATCCAGCTATTGTGAACATGTACTTGTCCTTGCAGACCACTGTTGTTCCAAACCAAGGAGCATATAGCACAGAGCCCAGCTCTCGGGGAAATAATCCCGTACAGCACAGCCATTCACTTCCTGTTTGCAAGGGCACCGCAGGAACTGAAATCTCCACATCAGGTAACTAATGTCATTCATGGGCAACGAATGTCATCTACAGGCAACCAATGACATTCACAAGCTACATTTAATATCTGTTTGTCCATTGGTCAGTCAGTAGTAGCCATAATGGTTCTCTTAGAGTATTATATGTAGACATAGAGTATGTAGCCCATCACATGTACAGACATTGTCAAAGCTAGTTCAAAGTTTCTGTGCCAATCTTACGTCAGTAATCTTTGTTGAAAGAAAATTTAATTAGAGCAATAAAAGAATTTCCTGCTTCCTATTCATATTGTAATTTGTGACTGTCTAAACTTTGGCTCAATCTTGTTTATTCCTGCCAAGACAGGTCTCCTCTTTCTCCCACTAAATGCAGTATTAATGGCAAAGATTGTTGCTTTTATGTTGACCTGACCAGTTCATCACGTGGTACCATGATATACAGTAGCTGGCATAAGACTTTGGCTGTGGTGTGAAACAACATTCACTCACATGAGTATGAATCGCATGAGGAGACAGTTTTGCATTAATGAATTAACCTGCACAAACTGAGTCCTTTGCTGTGGAGTGGCCAGCCTCCCGCACCTAACGGTTCTCACAACATATACATGTACCTCCTGTAGTATCCCACAATGCCGTGTTTCAGGCGTACAACTGGTCACTGAGTCGGTACTCCCTGTCGCTGGACGACCACCCCTAACAGTTCCCCCCTATATACATGTACACCCTGTAGTATCCCACAATGCCGTGTTTCAGGCGTCCGACTGGTCATTGAGCCGGTACTCCCAGTGGCTGGACGACCACCCCTAACAGTTCCCCCCTATATACATGTACACCCTGTAGTATCCCACAATGCCGTGTTTCAGGCGTCCAACTGGTCATTGAGTCGGTACTCCCTGTCGCTGGACGACCACCCCTAACAGTTCCCCCCTATATACATGTACACCCTGTAGTATCCCACAATGCCGTGTTTCAGGCGTCCGACTGGTCATTGAGCCGGTACTCCCAGTGGTTGGACGACCACCCCTAACAGTTCCCCCTCATATACATGTACACCCTGTAGTATCCCACAATGCCGTGTTTCAGGCGTCCGACTGGTCATTGAGCCGGTACTCCCAGTGGTTGGACGACCATCCTGATGAGGCAGACAGACTTAAGTTCATCAAGTAAGTAAGCAGTTGTGAGGGAAAATTTGATTGGAGTAATAGTAGAGCAGGAGCTATCCTTATGATTTGGAAAGTGAGTTGGGTTTTACACCTGTTTATCATCCCAAACTGACTTCCATTGGAAATATCACTTGGTTGAGATGAAAGCAGCAATTGCATCATAATGCTTTGCACAGGTCATTGTGACATCAACAGTTACCATTACATAACTGTCTACTAATCTCTGCCACTGAAGCTGGTTAGCTGTAGGTTTTATGCTCAAAACACGGATTATAAAAGTTTATAAACCGAAAATGCCTGGGTGTTCAACACTTTTATTGACTTGAGATATATGTGTTTACTTTACTTTCCAGGGGAGCATTGGAAGCCTACACCAAGCTTGTCCGACAGAGACAGAGTAAGGAGTACGCCCCCATCTACCCCGTAATGGTGGACTTGTTACAGCGAGGTCTGCAGCATGTGACCGGGTCGTGACACCGTCCTGCACACCATCAGATAGGGGCGTTGTGGGGATCATAGTGTGGGGTAATAGTCAGGATGTAGGTCTATGACAGGTGATAACTTAATCAGGGGCCATTGTCCTTTCTACAGGTGTGTGAGAAGGTATGGAGATGCTGTAATTGTGCTCTCCCTGTGGCACAGGACCATCCTGGCATATGGAGGGTGTTAACATGGAAATTGTTATGATATACTCAATGTCAATTTTCAAATTTTGAATTACCAGGTTGTTCCTTTTCATTGGTGTAATTGTTGCAAGTGTGGGGAGCAACCCTCATTATTGTCATGTACATTATGAGGCTGGCTGAGATATGTCCAGAACATTGACATCACAGTTCCATTACAGGATTTACCAACGTCTTTGTCAACATTGTGGTATTTTTAAACTGTAGAATCAGTGGAGACAGAATTAATGTATCAAAATTGTGTTTTCTTTTAATGCCACATCTTGGTACAATTGCTTGTACTTGCTTCATGAAGCTACAGGCTCCTGTATGTAAATGTCCCACAGGAAGCATATAGAAGTTGAAATATACTGCCAACACCATTCGTTTCTGTCAATGTAACGTTGACACAGTTGTTTCATGAATCATTTGTTGAGGCTGTCTGTATGTAAATATGTACAAATGACTTGGGCCACCATGTAGTGGCGACTATTTATCACTGTACAGTAGCATCTGGCTGTCCACACAGTGTACATCACCAGAGCAGAGGGAAATAAAATAATATTGACCAAAATATTCCTGTAACGTATGTTATATTTGGGATTACACTTTCTTAGTAAAGTACAGATTCTAGTACTTTTGGGGTTGAGTCCCATCCGGGATTCGAACCCACACCCTCAGAGTCAGGCACCTAAAAAGTACTAGACTCTGTTACATTTGATCACTTTCTAAATGGCATTGTGGATATATTGAATGTACAAAGTTTCATGAAAGAATACTTTGAACTTTTGGAGATATCGTCCAATTGAACACATATATGGGAACAGAGTCAAAGTTGTTGCTATGGAAATGAGGAATAAAAATGTAGGTGACATTTGACAAGTGTGTCGAAGAGCAGGACACCTTTGCTTTTTGGTTGTGTTGGGAGCATGGTCCATCAACATCAAGAAGTCTTCAATAAGAAATGGAGGACCTTGGAATAAATCTTTACATCCCGTCTTATATTGTTAATGTAATTAATGTACATCAACAAGGAACACAAAACATAGTGACATGGCTCCCAGCGGAATGTCACTGTGTTGTTTGAGGGCTAATGTCGGTCTTGTCGTGTTTAGCCATGTCTTCTCTGAGCAGCGTGCCACACATGATGGCCAGGAACATGATGATGCCAATCTGGGTGTTAGAGCGGAACTTGGCGGCGCAGTCGTCGGGGTTGTTGAGATCCACTGTGTACATCTGGAACACAGAAGGGGGCAGATGTAGTGTGTTTGGTGGGTGGTGAGTGAGTGAGTTGAAGGAGTAGAGAATTTGTGTCGTGTTGGTTGTGAGTGAGTTGAGTGGGTAGTGATTGAGTGAGTTGTGATTTGACAAGGAAGTAAGTGGGTGTGTGAGTGTTGCATGAGTAGTTTGTTTACTCAGCAATATTCCAGCTATGTGAAGCTAGTCTGTAAAGTCTGGACCAAATAATCCAGGGATTGACATCATGAGCACCAAGATACACACTTGGGATACCATGACGTGTCAACAAATTCAGATAGCCTGACCACCTGATCCATTTGGAGGCCTCTTAAGACAAGCATTGGTTGCTGAAGACCCATTCTAACCTGGATCTTGACGGATCACATGGGAGTGTGTGGCTGGGATTTTATGTCAGTATTTCAGACATACCATGTGACTACTGACTCTTGGAAGCGAAGTAGGTGAGTGTACATTTTCACAACTTCTGGTAAAGCTAGCACTATGTCCATATACACCTGTCAGTACTCGCCTCATGAGAGTGTCCACCCACACCTGTCAGTACTCACCTCGTGAGAGTGTCCACCCACACCTGTCAGTACTCACCTCGTGAGAGTGTCCACCCACACCTGTCAGTACTCACCTCGTGAGAGTGTCCACCCACACCTGTCAGTACTCACCTCGTGAGAGTGTCCACCCACACCTGTCAGTACTCACCTCGTGAGAGTGTCCACCCACACCTGTCAGTACTCACCTCGCGTGAGAGTGTCCACCCACACCTGTCAGTACTCACCTCTGTGAGAGTGTCCACCCACACCTGTCAGTACTCACCTCATGAGAGTGTCCACCCACACCTGTCAGTACTCACCTGTGAGTGTCCACCCACACCTGTCAGTGAGAGAGTGTCCACCCACACCTGTCAGTACTCACCTGGTGAGAGTGTCCACCCACACCTGTCAGTACTCACCTGTCAGTACTCACCTGGTGAGAGTGTCCACCCACACCTGTCAGTAGTGAGAGTGTCCACCCACACCTGTCAGTACTCACCTCGAGAGTGAGAGCCACACCACCCACACCTGTCAGTACTCACCTGGTGAGAGTGTCCACCTCACCTGGTGAGAGTGTCCACCCACACCTGTCAGTACTCAGCGTGTCCACCCACACCTGTCAGTACTCACCTGGTGAGAGTGTCCACCCACACCTGTCAGTGTCCACCCACACCTGTCAGTACTCCCTCACACCTGTCAGTACTCACCTCGTGAGAGTGTCCACCCACACCTGTCAGTACTCACCTGGTGAGAGTGTCCACCCACACCTGTCAGTACTCACCTGGTGAGTGAGATGAGCTGTGGTTGCTGCCACGCCCACATAGAAGGGCCAGGTCTGGTCACACAGGTAGCCGGACATACACAAGCCACTGATCATCAGACTGGAGAAGCCTGCCAGCCAGGGCTTGGTCTGATCCCCCAACTTCAGGGCCGTCGACTTTACGCCGATCAACATATCATCATACTTGTCCTATACACAGAGAACTTGAATTACATCAAGAATATCCAACAGCAATAGTCACACAACTTCACAATATTGAAAAGTGAACAATAAGTAATGTGATGCCTCAGTGACTTGTATCACATTAGGATAAAAAACAACACTGGCAATCTTAGAGAATTACTGATATAAATAATATATTTATGTAATTTACTTGTGCTGGGATATGTTAAAGAAATGAGGAGTATAATTGGGTTTGGAATAAAATGCAACAGAAACATGAGATGACATACAGCAAATCAAGCAATGTTCCTACCCTGACACCTGGATCTGCTGTTTACTAGATTATTAGCCATTAATTTCACTTTCAGTACTTATGGCCCTTACAAAAAATGCTGAGGAAGCAAAAGCAGCTGTACTGTCGGTTTCCACCCTGACAATATGGCCAGCTAGCACATGGCATAGGAGTGTAGACCCTCCCTGACAATATGGCCAGCTAGCAATAGGAGTGTAGACATATGGCCAGCTAGCAATGGCATAGGAGTGTAGACCTCACTGACACATGGCTTGGGAGGGGGGACAGGATGACAACACTTAAGGAAACACTACTACCAAGGAAACAATAATCTCTACCGGTAATTTGCAGCAAAACTATTCTTTTCAAAATGTGGCAATGTCAGGATGTGTCTTTTGTACCATGCCCTGCAAAGCTCGGTGTAAGCAATGCTAAGATGGGTGAACTAATCTAGTCATTCTAGAAAGCTTGCATCAAAGGAACTTGTCAACGAACATTTACATGTAGAATCTTAATGGAAATAACTCAAAGCATAAACAAAATGCATGCATAAATTGAGAAAAAGAGAATGCAACTGTTCTCCAAATAATGTCGGAATCTAACTTTTTGATTTAACTTGAGCTGTGCTGAGGTCTCTGTTGCCGTCATAATTCAGCAAGTTCTTATGTTATATTTGAGAGATTTTACTCATTTACATTTTGACAATAAGTGTTGGTACATGAACATCAGAAAAGAGGTTAGTTAACAATAAGTGGGTAACAGTGAAGCACACAATGGAGTTACAGACCCTTCCCAATCACTTTCACATCTTTGTCTTTCCCATGAGAATCGGACTATGCTACTTAGTTTGGTATTTCAGTTCTTGACATTGACTGTCTCTATTGTTCGCTGATGTTTGTTGTTTTAACGCTTCACTCAGCAATATTACAGCTAGTAGTCGTCTGTAATTCATTTACCCCAGACTTGACTATCCAGTGAATGAGTGAGTGAGTATGGTTTTATGCCACTTTCAGCAGTATTCCAGCAATATCACAGTAGGGGACACCAGAAATGGGCTTCACACATTGCACCCATGTGGGGAATTGAACTCTGGTCTTCAGCATGATGAGCGAATGCCTTAACCACAAGGCTACCCCTCCGCCCCTCCAGTGACTGCAGGTGTAGACCAAATAGCATGGGGATGCTGCTGAGAGACCATCATCATTTGCCTGCAAATCCGGGACCAGAAGATCCTGGTTATCTAAAGGACATAATCTTGCACACATTTTTAATTGTGTTGCCTCAGATGAATTATGATATGGTGTTAAAGCATTTGTTATTGTCTGAAAGAGGCAGTGTTATGATTATGAACTGGAAACAATATTAATTTGTACTTTCAATGTTTTGCATGCATGCAGAGATAATTTCTATTTTAGACTTCTATTACCTCCTCTTGTACGAGTCTCACTTCATATTATTGAAAACAAATGATTTTATCGCTGTTTTGTGTTGAGCAGTTCATGCAGAGGACAGAGAGCAGAGGAATTACAGCTGTCTCAGTATACGGGTAAAGACAGCCTTAGTGAAGTAGTGAAGGGTCTGTTTTAATCAACAGTGGGGTTAGTAGGGGTTACAGCAGAACAACTGGCCAGATGTTAACAGGAACATATTTAGTTGCCAGGGTTCCAGTCTACCAGATCTAGCGAGTCCCAACTGACTTCCACTGAATAAGGACAGAATGTCAGAAAAACAAACAGTTTTCCAGCATTATGAGACTCTGGCAGCTGTGTGGCTGCCTGTATATATTCTATCAACAGTTTGGGACTAATCGAGAATATAAATTCATCTGCCGTGCAGGGTTACAAATTTCTAATTTTAAGTAGTTCTCCAAAACTTGCTTGCTCAAGAGTGGCCATCTACCTAGGGACTGGTCATTAATTACAGGGTGGGTCAGGAGGCCTTTGATGCATTAATTCACTGTAAATAATGATGCTCCTGTAATGCTCGTCATTTTTTAAATGATTTCCCCATGTTCATGTTTTTAACAACCCCTTCTGAAAACACAAAATGTAAATGCACTGTATATTTCATCCTAAAATACCCCCTTTTTATGATCCTTCCCAAACTGTGCAATTTCCCTCTAATACTCATATTTCTTGTGACCCTGGACTCCCAGACCCCACCCCCCTAGGTAGGGGGAGGGGCATGAGTGAGAATAGTGTTAACATCGTATCATACTCTATACCATAACCCCCATGTTATGTAGCCATGACTACCCACTCTCCATAAAATAAATGGCCAGTCCCTAAATAATATTCAAACATATTACTTTTTATATTTTGCTGTGTCAGTTTTCACCCACCCACCCCATCTCTAATCACGTCACTTTTCCTGAATTAATGACTGACAACAGTCAGCACAAGCAGAGTTCTACTCCTCCCCATCACCCCCGGAAGAATGTTCCATGTACCAATACTCACTTGGTGAGCATAGATGGTGTCATATATTAGTGTCCATGCTATACCGCCCGCGTACATGGGCAATAAAACCGACCAATCGGTATAGCCCTTCACTGCTGACCACCCAAGCAGCACTCCGTAGTTGAACGTGAAACCTAGCAGGGATACCAAAATGATGTTCTGTGAAACTCGAAAACTATATTTACATTGAAGACAGGTAACATCCGTTCTGGTATCTTTACAAGAGAATACTTGACGATTTACTGTTCAGACCTACTTCCCAATCATATTATGAACGGACATCCTTATTTAGAATGCTACATAAACAAAAAGCTACAAAATATTTTTACCAAAATCATTTGTTTTAAAGAACATAAATTTCAGTGATCCATCAATGTGAAATTCCAAGTATTCTCTTGCAGGTAGAACCAAAGGGACATAACCCATATTATTATATGCAGACCAGTACAAAAGATGAAACTGCCTCTTCTAAATGTTGTTAAAAATTCATCTGAAACACAAACTGTAAATTCTGGGTAGAGATGAAGAAGTGTTAGTGACAAAGTCATACACAGGCTGTGCACAAATGTACATAAAACAAGAACCATCTATCTCCTAGTGATAATATTAGAAGGAGTCTGACTAGAGCTTGATGTTCTACCATCAATGCTCATGACGATTCACTGCCTAACTCTGACATGTTCTCTACACTAGCATTGACTGATACTCATAAGTTTCTGTTCATGAAATAATACAACAGAGGTGACTTCTACGGCTCCATGCAAATGACGCCCACTAATATAAATTTCACGTGCAGCTGAATCAGATCACCTGTTCTCTGACTGACCGATGGTCACATAACCATATTACAGTAATGACATCCCCACATAAAATGATAAAACAATGGATAATGCTTTGGATTTCCCAATGATTGAGTGAGTGTGAATTGTAATTGGACAAACTGATGCTACTGCTTTGACCACTCCCTGCAACTACGCCTACAGATGCAGCTGTATGTGTCAGCTGTTTCATGCTGATAGCATGACTATTTATATACAGATCTGAAAACACAGTAACCATGGTAACAATGGTAAAGTGCTGTAGACAGTTTTCCTGTATTTCCGATCTATTTGTACAGAATCATATATCTGGAATCACAAATATAGCAACAGAATGTTATGAGGAAACCCTTCCCACTGAAACAGGAGTTAATTATGTGCACATAGACGCAAAAACAAGCAGAAGATACAAGTGCAGAGAAAGGATGATAAAATGAATTCCTATGGTAACTATGGTTACATATCCCTTAATTTGTTCATTGTTAACATCATCAGCTATCTCCATGACTACTAGAAGCTACAATGTACCAGCAAGTCCCAGAATGTGTGCTGTGAGATTTACAGTGTACTATCACATCTCCAATAAAACCCTTGAAAACTGAAGCCAATATACATACCGTTAAAGTTAATGAAAACAACAGACCAATCTCATTCCTGCAACCCTTGGAATCAATTCAGATGCTCCGACCCTCTGCATGTATTTATGTTTTATTTGGCAATTTTTTCTACTGATTTCATGGAAATCATGTCAGAGAAGTTAAGTGTGTGAGCAGAGAAAATGCTATCAGTGGAAGGACTGGAGTGTGCTCTTGCATCTCTTTATCAGTCAACAGAGCTGTTGCCATATCTTAGTGTAAGTCAACCAACAAGCCAGTGGTTTCAGATTTCATACCATATTAATTTCATGATTTACAGAATACTAGTCTCTTCATGTTTTTCACAATTTTTTTGTTGAAAGGAAAGGATCCCGGATACGACACACAATCAAACCACTACCAAAGATACGTGGCGTCTGCAATCTGGGTTGAAAATGCATATACAATGAACAAAATCAGGGGATCAGTAACCATGACAACCCAGGGTGAGGAGCATGCAGGGGCCAGACAAGCAGACAGCAACATGCTCTGTGCACTAACTCCAGACCTTACAGTCTACTGTCCCTACGTACTGTCTAGATCGATATTTAAGTTTGGCAGATTCCATCCATTGATTCAGTCTGTTCCTGGGTGTGGCTTGAAGGTCTTTCAGAGTGTTTGGTAGAAGCAAAATGGGGGAAAACAAATCTAAAGACTCAACTTTTATTAAACATAAAGATAAAAATTCTATTCAAGCCCTAGTGCACGTTGACATGACTACGACACAAAAATATTTATCTGCTGCCAAAATGTTATTCTTGCCATATAGATGATAGATAAGAAGACAAAAAAATTATATATAAAATTTGTACTTAAAAAACCTATGAATATATGCAATAAATGAAATATTCTACTAAACATTCCGAAAGACCTTCCAACTCGGCCATGATGGAGACAACATTTATAAGTAGTGGTCTGCAAGTACCTGGTGCGAATAGATAGTGTCATAGAATACAGTGTACACAACGCAAGCCAGGTATAGCGGCACTATGGTTGGCTCCAGAGTGCTGCGGAGTGCCGACCAAGCCAGGAGGACACCCCAGTTTAACGTTACACCTGAAAACATACGACCATTCTCACACTTCATTCATTGTTTAAAATATGTAATTTTCTGACTAAAATTGATATCTTGTACTTATGCTGACTCATGCTAATTATGCTTGTCTCCTTCCTCTTGCAAATGATAGCGGAACACTTGAAATCCTTTGAAGTTCCCTTCTAAAAAAGCGGACGTAAAATCACTCACCCTCGAGTAGTCTCCCTTTCCTCCCTTTTGGCTCCCTTTTTGGTCACATGACCAGCCATGTTTGTCACTCTCTCCATATGTATGCCCGACACCCGGATTTACAGGGAAATCCAGAGTGCCATAAGAGGGGAGGTTGGGAGGGCTAACCTCATGAGTCATATATTTCCTTATCCTGACTTATGCTAATTATGCTTGCAGAATCCGTTAAAAACGGTGGTGGGTCAGGCCACGTTCTGGATTCACTAGTTGTTGATTTATGTTCTGTATTATAAACCACCACCACCACCACACACCACACACCCCCATGGGAACTTATGACATCACTGTTGAAGATTCTGTTCTTTCAACTTCTCTCTGATGAGTCTGGGGGGAACCACAACTTGTCAGATTTCTTACGAATCTTTTCCTGACATTATCGTGTGGATTTTAGATATACTAATATTCCATTAGTTATCTATTGCAACTCCATCTCTTGATGCGCGCATTAAGTGGAGATATGACCCTTCTTCATGTATGAGAATGTCCGATACAAGTACAGGGTCTATCACTCATGCTAGTCTGTCCTAGACATGTGCATGGACTTATAGCCATTGCTCTCCAGAGCATGGTTTTCACAAGTCACGTGATAAATGGGGTGAGATTTACTCAGCGCCTTTGTGGAACCGTTAGTTGTTGCGCTATAACAAGTGTCCCAAACTGGTGAATGCCTGAGACGTCTTCGGTGGCAATGTCTCTGAGGTAGTGGTTGGCAAACACTGTGTTCGATCTCCAAAAGCAGCCCTCCATTATAGTTGTAATCGAGCAGTTTCCATGCAGAGCAAGTGTTGACGCCAGGGGTCTGACTTAGTGTGGGTTGGAGGCTCGTGGAGGCTCAAGTCCTGCTGCTTTATAGGCCCTTAGTATAACGGCTCTCATCCAGATCGATATCGTTGTCCGTGAGACTTCCGTGGGCATCTCAGTGGATAAGGGGATGAATAGGCGCGCTTGAATTTTCATCTACTTGTTTTAGTTCTCTGTAGGTAGACTTTAAGTGCTCTGACTGGGCATAAGGATAGATCCTGTGTATCCTGTGGCCCAAGGACTGTAGAGTGTGATGGGATGTGGAACTGTCTGTCAGGCTGACCGGGCAGTTGGTTCTTGGCGATAAAATCCCATCTCAGTCCAAGATGTACGATGTCTTGATTCAAATCGCGTTCGTTCAAAGTCCAGAGCATGTATTTCTGACATCCGTGCAGCTGTTGCTAGGGCGATCAGGAACAGCGTTTTCTGAGTTAGTAGTTCAAAGGATGTCCGTTCTAGAGGCTCGTAGGCATCACTGGTGAGATGTTGTAGAACTATGTTGAGATCCCAGACAGGAGCCTTAATTTTCTTTTGTTGGTCTTCCAACTTGAACGAGCGTAGTAGTGCCAGAATCTCTGGTACTTTGGTCAGCTTGATACCTGTTTTCATGGTGATAACTGTACTGAGGGCAGCCAAGTAAGTTGAGAGTGTTGAACCTTTTAAGTGTCTCGTCTGTCGTAGATGACATAAGTATTCCGCCACTTGAGGATGTGTTGCTTTCACCGCTGTAAAGCCTTTCCTATTTGGATATTGTTCAAATCTCTGCCACTTGTCATCGTACAAGTTGTGAGTTGATCTGCGTAGAGCCAGTGTAACTGCTTTCGCTGCTCTGGCAGAGTACCCTCTGGTCTTCAGGCAAGCTTTAATATGCTCCACGCGTGTAGCTGGAACAGTGTCGGTTTCCGTGAGCTTGCTTGGTGTGTGGATGGACGAGTAGGTTCGACCACTCTGGTAGTTTCAGGGTTGGACTTCCGAGTTCTTGTATGAGGACAGGAAACCATACCCTCGCTGGCCAGTAGGGGGCGACCAACATCAGTTGCAAAGTAGTCGCCTGCCTGATTTTCTGTAGTCCTTGTGGTAGCAGTGCAGGAGGTGGAAACGTGTAAGCGTTGAGTCCTTCGAAATCATCGTTGTACATCTTGTAGGTAAACGCCTCATCTGTGTCCTTAGAAGGTGATGCTAAGTCCAAGCCATTGGCGATCCAGGAGTTAACTTCCGTATCGGAGAATATGCCTTCACCTTCTTCCTCTGATTTGGACATTTCTCGCTCTATGGATCCATGACGACTTGAGTCTCTAGGGGATGATCTGTATGATGAGCTTCACGCAGGCGAGCGATCCCGATGCGATCGTGTATCCTTTCTGGAGTCTTGAGAGGATTCTCTAGGTCTTCGTGAAGGTGGGTTTCTGGACGTAGCTTCCACTCTGTAGGAGTGCCTTCGCGCAGGTTCTCGATGGGCGTCAGAGTCCGATGGAGATGAAGACTCATATCTGCAACGTCTGTGGGGTTCAGGAGAACGCCTCGATTTCTTCCTGCGTGGAGACTTCTTAGCAGCAATCTCTGGAGTGTCTATGGCTGAACTGACGTTGGTAGCGGTGTCCAGACTCCTCACTTCAGATGGGGAAGACCATCGTGTCCGTGAGCCTTCGCGGAGGCTTCCCTCTTCATCCGGATGTGGTGGAGAGACTGTAGAACCTTTAGTCGTAGTCGTTGTAGAGGTCTTCATAGCTGCCTTCTCCTGAGCGAAGCGACGTTCCATCATTGACATCATCTGGTCTGTAAACTGTTGCATGAACAGTCCCGGGTTGAAGTTCTGCATTGTCTGAAAAGATTGCTGCATGGATGATGCATCTGTTTAAACGAAATGAAAACACATGTCAAACAACAGAAAATTAGATCAAATTTCAAACCGTAATGTAGAATATAATCCTAAAAACCGTATACAGTAATAATTTTTAATGTAAGGTCCGAAAATATAAAAGGATATGTGCCGTATAGGGACCCAGGTGCTCTCACAACCATCCTCAAGGGCGAAGAAGGAGAGAGTGACAAACATGGCTGGTCATGTGACCAAAAAAGGCACTAAAATGGAGGAAAGGGAGACTACTCGAGGGTGAGTGATTTTACGTCCGCTTTTTTAGAAGGGATCTTCAAGGGATTTCCACTATCACTCGCAAGAGGAAGGAGACAAGCATAATTAGCATGAGTCAGGATAAGAAAAAATATGTAATATCACACAAATATATACCACTGAGAGACTGTTCACACGTCTTATCCTGGAAGTAATCACCATAGTACCGACAGAGTGCCTTCGTAAATGTTTTCATGACATCATTTTCTTAATTTTTGCATGAAATGTTACTCTTAATGCTGTAAGTTATGTATTCATGGCCATTGCTGATTCAGTCAACAGACACATGAAAAGCATTTTGGGATACTGTCTTGGATGCAGAATTTGCTTTTCATTTCATGAAAATAAAGAATGTAATGCATCATGATGTAACCCCCTTCTAATAAATCATACAGAATTGATGTGATTGAAACGTTTCATTTATAATTTTAATCAATACATGTAACAATGCTTTATCAGTTAAACATTTTTCCAATTGTCAATTTGAATTTTGAACAGAGTGTTTGATCAATCTCTCCAACATTTGCATAGATTCAGTGGTTGATTTTGGCACTGATCTCTTCATTAGAAACATTAACTAGAAATGTAAGATCTTAAGTCATCATAAATTCCTGGGAGATGGACATTTGGTTTCTACTATGGATCTTCAAATAACAGTGCTCATTACGTAGCTTATGGTACGGAAGAATGCTTCTTATCAGCCTTCCTCACAATGTTCTTGTGAAGACCAAAAGTCATATGAAGCTGTCCTTACAATATTACTGCACTCTGTTTGAACTCCATGATTATGTACAATTTATATAGAACAAACCAACATATATAGTCATCAAATACATTTCCTACGAACATCGACTGAATACATTTCTCTCACTTCCATCTACACCTCCTTGTGAACTCACAGTCATTGTTCAACACAGCACAGCCCAGCACAATTAGCTGCACCTTGAGGTTAGTGCTATCAGCTAAGTGTGTTGGTCTACTCATGCAGTCTCGGAGGTGTGGCGGCACACTGGCGGCCCCCACTTGTCACATGTCCCAGCAGTCAGCTTTTAAACAAATGTCCGAACTCACTGACCTACTGTTGGCCCAGATTATATATTGCACATCAGCAAGTGTAGAAATCAGCAACATATCCCCCTGTCCAGTTTTGGGGGGTCACTTTTAGAAATGGGTGTTGACTATATTAATTCCGACTCTATTGTCTGACCAATAGGACATATGACTGGTGGGACATGTGTCTGACGGGAATATACTGGTACACTCTGCAGGTTGCCTAGTCTAGGACACCAGTAACCATGGTAACCTGTCACACCAGGAAAGCAGGGTTGAACACTCCAGAACTACTTGCACACAAACTGCTTCAACTACAACCACAATTTGAATGAGGTATATTTCATTTATGGTCAGTCCAATCAATTACATTTAAAACAAAATACACCCTCACATTAAAAAGCTGTCTACTGATGAATTCATCATTAAACAGTATCAATTTGTATATATTCATGTGTATTTGGTTCCATCTGGCAAAAACACTGTACTATAGTTCCATGGAAAGACATTAAAATGACTCTGGCTGGCCACTTGCAAACAAGCACCTCAAAACATCTAACATGTTTTTCTACCAACTCAATAGGCCAAACAAATTTGTCTTATTTAGGAAGTACTTGTGTAATACTAAACTCAGCAACGGAAAACACTACATACTTATAGCGACGTTTTTTAAAAATATATGTCATATGTCAATTCTCCAAGCATGTCCTCCATACATATCACTCAGTCACCAGTATGAATAATGTAACAGTAATACTACACTGGCTTAAGTTCTGTGAAGGCTGACAGCACTCACCTAGCATCAGCTGTGGCCAGTAGGTGTAGCGCTTGGCCAGTGGGTAGGTGATGACCAGACCCATGGACGCCGCCCCAAGAAGGATGCTGGGAAGGAGGAGTAAACAGGTGTACACGGGCAGTTAGCTTTAACTTGGCAGATTAAAACACATATACGTGTAAACATTCACCTCACCTGTACAACCAGAAATTATTGAGAATTAAAAGAAAGTAATTTCAAAAAAAAAAATTCACTCATTACTCATGTATTAAATGTGAATATTAGCAGAATATAACTCCAGATTTAAAGACAGGTGAACAGTTAGTATTTTGTCATGTCACCATGGGCAGCAATGCAGGCTTTAATGCGGCGGGGCATACTACTGATCAAAGAAGTTAGAAAGTCGTGGTCCATGCTGTCCCAATATCGAACCACCTCTTCTTTCATTTCAGCAATATTTGTCAGATTTTTCTTATTGACACTTTCCTTCATAAGTCCCCAAACATTTTCTATTGGATTTAGGTCAGGGCTATAGCTTGGCCAATCTAATAATGTCATATTTTGGGTCCGAAACCAGGCCTGTGAATGCTTTGAACGATGTTTTGGGTCGTTGTCCTGCTGGAAACTCCAAAAATTTCCATAGAACACGTGAGCAGATGGAAGTAAATGTCCCTCGAGAATATCTGTGTACCGCTCACTGTTCATATTCCCTTCAAATACACAGAGGGGCATTGTCCCTAACACAGATATGCCACCCCACATGTTAAATTTCGGACTGTACTTTGGGCGCTGATACAAAGGTTTTTCAGTTTGTTTGGTCCAGAATTTCAGTGTATTAGGAAACAGCCACACAGAACTTTCATCTGAGAAAATCACATTGTCCCAGTTAAAATTTCTATGCTGTAAGCACCAGTTCAACCTTCGCTCCTTTCGTTCAGGTTTCATGATCGGTGATGGAATTCCTCGACTTTTCTGCCAACCCATTGCATGCAGCTCAGTTCTAATTGTCTCCTTACAGACAGCCACAGTTCCTCTATCAATCATATCCAGCCTTAAGTTTTCAAATCTCCTTCGTTTGTTTTTAGAAACAAGAATACCAAGCCGCCTCCTGTCACCGACAGTCAATTTTCTGGGCCTACCTACGCCTCCCTGGTGCTCAATGCCATATCCATTTGCAATATTTTTCAAAACACGATAAACAGTGGACTAAAGGGATGCCTGTTCTACTTGAAATCACTTTAGCTGATCTGATGTCCTTGTTATAATACTCTGAAATCAACTTCCTCTTCTCTAAATCATCCATACTGGGGATCACTGAAAATGTCGTCTTCTAGCAAGTAAACAAAGGGGGATAACTCTTCACAAACTAATGAAAAAGGATTAACGGAGTTGTCTCTCTTGAATGAAACCAAGCACTTGATAGCTGGTCAAGGTTGTTTATACTAGAAATCCAATTAAACATATTCCTAAAATTCTCAATAATTTCTGGTCATACTATAGTATATATGTCTCAATGTGCACCCTACCTGTATGTGTCAAGTGTGAAACCCACATGTATGTGTCAGTGTGAAACCCACCTGTATGTGTCAGTGTAAAACCTACATGTATGTGTCAATGTGAAACCAACCTGTATGTGTCAATGTGAAACCTACCTGTATGTGTCAGTGTGAAACCCACCTGTATCTGTCAGTGTGAAACCCACCTGTATCTGTCAGTGTGAAACCTACCTGTAGGTGTCAATGTGAAACCCACCTAAATGTGTCTGTGTGAAACCTACCTGTAGGTGTCAATGTGAAACCCATCTGTATGTGTCAGTGTGAAAACCACCTGCATGTGTCAGTGTGAAACCTACCTGTATGTGTCAATGAGCACCCTACCTGTGTGTCAGTGTGAAACCAACCTGTATGTGTCAATGAGCACCCTACCTGTGTGTGTCAGTGTGAAACCCATATGTATGTGTCAGTGTGAAACCCACATGTATGTGTCAATGTGAAACCCACATGTATGTGTCAATGTGAAACCCACATGTATGTGTCAATGAGCACCCTACCTGTGTGTGTCAGTGTGAAACCCATATGTATGTGTCAGTGTGAAACCCACATGTATGTGTCAATGTGAAACCCACATGTATGTGTCAATGTGAAACCCACCTGTATCTGTCAGTGTGAAACCCTCCTGTATGTGTCAATGTGAAACCCACCTGTATCTGTCAGTGTGAAACCTACCTGTATGTGTCAATGTGAAACCCACCTGTATGTGTCAATGTGAAACCCACATGTATGTGTCAATGTGAAACCCACATGTATGTGTCAATGTGCACCCCACCTGTATGTGTCAGTGTGAAACCCACCTGTATGTGTCAATGTGAAACCCACCTGTATGTATTAAACTGTAGCAGTATACCAAGGGCAAGGCCAAGCTGAGTTCCAAGTAATGCCAACGCCTGGAACGAGCTTAGCTCCCCTGATGCCAAAGGGCGGGCCTTTGTTCTTTCAACCTGAAAATTGCTACTGAATGAGAATACATTTACATTCTCACATTACATTACAAATTATACATTATTGATCAAGTTTTCCTTTTCGCGGCTACCTGTGAACATTTTATCCAACAACGAAAACCGGGTCCTCGGGAAGTGCTTGTTAATTCTTAAACATCCTCCTCACAATCAACATTTATGGTAAATGTGACAAATGAGTCACTTCATTAATACATGGGTTGAGTCTAGTATTGATATTGTAAGCCTGGTATGAGAAGAAAGGTTTTATAATAATAAACTGACACATGACCTCATGTTGAAGCTCTGATTTGAACCCATCACCAGCAGATGCTGCCATGGGATTGTACATGGGCATTCATTAGAAGAACCTTCATATTGTCATAACTCTTTCTTTGAAAGAACAGGAGCATGCCACACACCATCTTGTCGAAGTCTTTGTCCCACATGTCGTTGATGATGCAGCCAGCACCCCTCATGAGAAAGGCCCCTGCACCGAACATTGCCAGGAAGTAGGGGTCAGGGAGAAAACCGGGGTCAGCAGCCATAGCAATGCTCCATGTGCACGGCCAGAATAGCAGGTACGTCCCTGGAGTGACATGACAAAACATGACCATTACGACAAGCAGGCACTTGTTCCAGTACAGGGGATGAGATAGGTACTGTACTTTTGTTATAGGTTAAACCATGTAGGTGTCCATGCCTGAGATGCTGTACAAGATAGCTCTCCAAATACTGAATCGAGAGAGCTATCTTGTACAGCATCACAGGCATGGCCAACTGAAGAAGCTGTCAGAGTTATTGCAAGTCTCCGTGGAAGAATGTCAATAATTTTCAGCTTCATGACGGTCAGCCTGTATACTATTGACTGGACAATGCAGTGATTAATATTGTGAACAACTATCCACTGATAACTGATGAAGTGACGTGTAATATATATTACTCATAAAGAACATACTAATCAATAGAACATCTCAATATACCTCACTTATTTTATCTATGTACCGCTACGCAAACTAAGATTTGACATTTTGGTGTGTACCAGTTAGTGGCGTTCCGATTAATTGAAATAATCGAAGATTGATCGCAGTGACCAAACGACCAAGCAATCAATCACATTTTCTCATAATTGAACATAAACGATTTTGGAACTACTGTTTTAGTCTTTGAAATACTTGACAATGGAACATATTGTTGAAGTTGTCAGTGCATGAAAACGTGTTTAATTCTTAGAAAACTCACTTCACTAACTGAAAAGCCATGACTGAGTATTTCTTGAAGACTCCGGGAAGTTTATGTTCATGATATATTAGTCATCACTTTAAAGTAGCAAGTTGCATCATGTTATACCTATCTGCAATAACAACCTGGATAGGAAAATCGGAAAAATGACGCAAACCAATTTTTTTCGATGATTGTTCGTTGGTAATGAAACAATCATCAATTGTGAGATTTCAACCAATTCCCAGCACTAATATATATTACTCATAAATAACATACTAATCAACAGAATGTGAACTACATGCCCTACCTATGGGTTTATCGAAGCGGATGAGTCTCAGGTAAGGTTGGACTGACTGTGGCGAGGACTCGAGGATGGAAGTGGTGAAGCTGATTGGACGTCTTGTATTGACCAATCCATGACGTGTATTCAGGAGTGGATGAGGCTGGAACACAGACTGTGGGCGGAGCAGTGAATGAAACGAGCGTGATGGAGGGGATGTTGATGTCTCTTGTCCCAGCGCTGGTGACCGAAACTTGGCTAGATGTATATCTGATCCATGCCCCGCTGGTAAACTGTTCTTCACATCTTGATAAGTAATTTGTCTTAATGGATGTTTTACATGTTCGAGATGCCTTGATATGTGAGAGTTACTAGTTGTGTGAACATTTCTGTAGGTTGGAATTTGCTGTTTCTTATCAAGATGTTTCCAGTGTTCAGTTTGTCCTTGTTGCGAGTCGGTATATCCCTGGCTGCTTGACCAGTGATAGCAGGTGCCCTGACCAGTGACAGGGAGGAGACAGGACAGTACCCTGGAGTGACCAGCCAGCAGTCTCCCAGCCAACGCAGACATCATGGCAGATTCTCTGCAACACATCAATGACACTGAATAATGCTGACTCAGCAATGATAATATAGCATGAGTGAGTGAAGAAATGTTGTAGACCAAATTTAGCAATATCCCAGCAATATCACAACAGTGAACACAATGGAATTCATACATTGTACCCATGTGGGGAATTGAGGAAAGAATTATTTACGTTCCCCCTGCATATTTTTGCGATGAGCAAACACTAGTCTATAGTTTATAGTTAAAAATTAGGTGGTGTGTTCGTAAGGAGCTCTTACCGGAATTGAACCCAGGCCTTCAGTGTGATGCTTTAAACACAAGGCTAAACCCCTACCACCACCACCCTCTCCAAGCTACTGCACCAGTAGTTGGAGTGAGTGAATCATATGCTTTTACCAACATTGAGCATTAGTTCGGATCTGTTGGCAGTCCATATATATACAATATGTTTGTTATTAAACAGCACACTCAGCAATATTTCGGCTGTATATATGTGGCCTGAAAATAGCTGGTTCTGGACTAGTTCAGCAAGCTAAACGTCGTGTATGCCTTGGCAGGAACACGACGTTTAGCTTGCTGAACTAGTTCTGGACCAGACAATCCAGTCACACGAACAACAAGGTCGAATCCTGATGATCATGGTATCAGGTTAGCAAATATGTTTGACTGCCAGATCCATTTCTTTCGTCAGTGCAAGTTCAAACAACTGTCACCGAATTATCAAGTTAATTATTACAAAGTTCCTGACGAAATATCAGTCGATCGAAAACAGGACAACCCTTACACAGTTGAGTAGACAGTATCGTATGTCCGATATGTGCATAACACTAAGTCACTGTTTGTTCAAATCATAACCTAATCATTACAACAACAACCTGTAACAAATATCGACCTTGCAAACGGTATGTTAAATATACCTGAGCGCGCTGTTTCAATTTCCGTACAGGCAAGGAAACTGAGGGCAACCTTGACCTGTTCAATAGAGTTATCTCCCTTGGACCAATTTATTCTTATCATCTTTGAAGGACTCACAAGGTCGTTTGTCTGCAAATACATTCACATTTGTATAAAACCAATTTATTTATTTTTTCACAGCACTGAAAACACTAAAAGACTCTAGTCTGATAGATCTAGCTGAAACACCATAAGTATCGGAGACCAATTCAGTGTCTTGTTTCTGAAAAACAATTGCACGTAAGATTATCGGCTGTAGGTGAATTCGTAGACCCAGAGACCATATAATAGATTATATGGTCTCTGGTAGACCAGACTGGTTCGTAGACGTGGAAATCCGGTGGATTCGTAGGCGGATTGAGTGGTGGATTCGTAGACGTTAGTAAAATGGGAAAAGTTCAACCTCAAATCTTACCGTGTCCCAGCTGCTGAGAGAGGTGTCTAAGTTAAATGGACCAATGGTCACTGAGTGACTGTGGTACATGCTTCCTTCCGTATCATCATTTGCGTGATAACGGTGTTATCTAACTACTACTGGGATACGTGCTTCCTTCCGTATCATCATTTGCGTGATAACGGTGTTATCTAACTACTACTGTGATACAGGTGTTATCTAACTACTACTGTGATACGTGCTTCCTTCCGTATCATCATTTGCGTGATAACGGTGTTATCTAACTACTACTGTGATACATGCTTCCTTCCTTATCATCATTTGCGTGACAACGGTGTTATCTAACTCATACTGTGATCACTCTTCAATCACACTTTTCTTGTCATTAGCTGCCCTTAGTTTCGTATCACTGAAAACACAGCATAACAACTTTGTTATACACAATCAAACAAAGTAAAAATCAAACTTAATATATATTATTATTCAATTATTAATACACGTCTACGAAATCACCGTCTACGAACCAGTCTGGGCTACGAATCCACCGCGTCTACGAACTGGTCTCTTTACGATTACACCTGTCAGAACATGTGACAATTTTACGGAAAATCGTGAGTTATTCATATATGTGGGTGTATTACTTCAATCTTTGAAGCATGTATTTCTCCAATATCGGGAAGTGAATTAGATTCCTTACTTTTGGCACTTAGTTTTTAGCGATTTAACTCGCCTGATCGAGTTTGTTAGACCAGGGAGACTATATAAGGTTGTAGAGTATCCCTGGTTAGACACATGATATTTGTTGTATCCTTTGACCTGACTAGAAATTTCAATTTTATAGGTTGTATAAAGTCAGTATGATATCTATAACAAATTTCTAACAGACTTCATACTTTTTGTTGTTGAAAATACAAAGAAATTGCAGTTTAATGTCGTAATTGTACTCCAAGACACCAGGAATCCACCATCGACTGACGTTTACCCATAGTTCTACTTCACCTTTGGCTGGACAGTTCTTGACAGCTTGGCGGTATTTCACTTTAGGTACAGAGGAAAATTAATATAATTTTAATTGCCAGAAGTTGTTCCTCCATTTTTCACCTAATAATACCTATATTTTCTATATGTTTTCATATGAAAAGGTGTTTAAACTTTATAAGCTATCGTTTTTATTAACTTCATTAAAATGGGTGTTTGCTTTGCAAACGTAACCAACTTCGCGAATTCCATTTTGTAACATCGGGAATTTATTGTCTTTCATTACGAACATAAGCTTCCTGTAAAATGTCAACTACGTGACCTGAAATTACGCGTTTTCGGCTTTTTGATTATGCAGTCAGAAAATGTGCTTGTTCTATATGCACATATGTATTGTATGCACAAAGGTCTTTAGTGCGTGAGGGAACCGCGTTGGTACACTGCACCACCACCACATCAGCATGTAAGCGGGGCATGTGCTTTATGGCTGCATTTGTCGTCTTGTGTACTTTGTAATAAACTCAGTTTCAGAATATGTTATGTTTATACTGGACCAATCTCATTCAATCCAGATATTTGTTCGCACTTTGCAAAAGAATTGTTTCCTGGTATTTAACGACATCATATCTTTTTATAAGAAATCTGTCCGCACTAACCACGCTTCCGATGTCAAAACTTTCATCGACTTGATAAATATTTATATATATCAGAAACTCTGACTCTCGGGGGATATCTAAGGCTTAATGTGCAGCGAGAAGTCTCAACAACCAGTTAATAGTCCTCGTCATGCATTACGCGATCCAGCTGGTTCTGGGGAGCCATCGGCAGTTCAATACAAGCGCTATATCGGAGGTACCACCTCCCATCCGTGTTGTGAGGACCATTCTTCCCCATCACACGGGCCAATTAAAGCTCTCCTCAGGCTGTATATCATTCCTGGTCAAGAACAACCATTTGCTCCGTGAGACATCCGTGCTGTAGTTTGTGACGCGTTATTTGAAGTAATTTATATTTCTTAACATATATTTCATATTTCATATCAGCATATGACATCACGACTCTATTACATACAGGACACTCTCTAAAAAAGAACAATTCCTAATAATTTTCACAAACAGAAGTCCTGAAACAATTCCCAAAATATGTCACCATCTTTACAACTTTAAATGAATTCTGTATATTACCATAGTCTCCTCATATATTATTTCCATGTCATTATACCACATGATTACTAAAAAATTGTTATAATGTACATCATTTATGTGTGAAGTGCATCTATATTTCTTGTACCTGCTGTGTTTATATTTGTAGTTTATAGAATATTCCCACCGTTTCTTCATGGAAAGCTATACAATAAATATCTTATCTTACAGGCTGCCGACATATTGCTGCTATATTTGCCGATTGCGACAAAACAACCCGACAAACACAACACGCTGTCCACACAAGCCCGCCCCGACACGAGCACTTCCTGCTGAACAAGAAGTACCAACTTCCCTGTGAATAACCTGAGGCACGACACTTACAGGCCTGACTTATGGACCACAAATATACACTGAGCCGTATTGTTTCAAACAGTTTTAAGGTCGTTTCAGTGCCACTTCTTGCTCCTTCATCAGTTGTATGCTGAATAACGTATACAGTTAATAGAATATGCATGGTGATATGGTTACATTATGTGCAAAGACGACCGTGTAACGAGCAAACCAATGGGATTAACGGGAGAAAATCGGAAGTAGAAAGACGGGGCTGCAGGCAAAAGCATCATGATAACAGCTGACTGTGGCACCCCGACAATAACAGTGCACGTATCATAATGTCCATTTCAGGCTATAAATGGGGTTTAAGGGCATTTGTGTGCGTCCTGAGCTGAACAATATGCCTCCGCTGCTGATAACATCTTGACCAGTTACGGAGTTACAGACCTAATTGTTATATACGAAAGGATAATTTACACATGCTCCACTCGCTAAATCTGTTTACAGCTGAACATGTTGAGCGGTGGTATAGATATACAATGACGACACACATGTAGGCCTCTACGTACGACTGTCGTGTGTCTGTGTTCAAGAATGTTGAGCGGTGGTATAGATATAGAATGACGACACACATGTAGGCCTCTACGTACGACTGTCGTGTGTCTGTGTTCAAGAATGTTGAGCGGTGGTATAGATATACAATGACGACACACATGTAGGCCTCTACGTACGACTGTCGTGTGTCTGTGTTCAAGAATGTTGAGCGGTGGTATAAATATACAATGACGACACACATGTATGCCTCTACGTACGACTGTCGTGTGTCTGTGTTCAAGAATGTTGAGCGGTGGTATAGATATACAATGACGACACACATGTAGGCCTCTACGTACGACTGTCGTGTGTCTGTGTTCAAGAATGTTGAGCGGTGGTATAAATATACAATGACGACACACATGTATGCCTCTACGTACGACTGTCGTGTGTCTGTGTTCAAGAATGTTGAGCGGTGGTATAAATATAGAATGACGACACACATTCTACGTACGACTGTCGCGTGCGTGTTCAAGAATGTTGAGCGGTGGTATAATATACAATGCACACATGTAGGCCTCTACGTACGACTGTCGTGTGTCTGTGTTCAAGAATGTTGAGCGGTGGTATAGATATACAATGACGACACACATGTAGGCCTCTACGTACGACTGTCGTGTGTCTGTGTTCAAGAATGTTGAGCGGTGGTATAGATATAGAATGACGACATACATTATGCCTCTACGTACGACTGTCGTGTGTCTGTGTTCAAGAATGTTGAGCGGTGGTATAGATATAGAATGACGACATAAATTATGCCTCTACGTACGACTGTCGTGTGTCTGTGTTCAAGAATGTTGAGCGGTGGTATAGATAAACAATGACGACACACATGTAGGCCTCTACGTACGACTGTCGTGTGTCTGTGTTCAAGAATGTTGAGCGGTGGTATAGATATAGAATGACGACACACATGTAGGCCTCTACGTACGACTGTCGTGTGTCTGTGTTCAAGAATGTTGAGCGGTGGTATAGATAAACAATGACGACACACATGTAGGCCTCTACGTACGACTGTCGTGTGTCTGTGTTCAAGAATGTTGAGCGGTGGTATAGATATAGAATGACGACACACATGTAGGCCTCTACGTACGACTGTCGTGTGTCTGTGTTCAAGAATGGTAGAGTAGGCTTGCAGTACTATCGCCCTAATATGGTATAGCGTACAAGAACATGGCTTCAGTGGTTGACACCATGAGCACCGATCTGGACAGTATCTCACAATCAACCAGGTCACACAACCACCCTGGCCTCATAAGACAACCATATCGGTCCCAGAATCCAAGCGGGGGTATAAACATGTAAGTAATAAGTACACGCACATGTGGAACCTGACCCAGATATGTGTGGGCACGAGCTGGAGGTCGACAGCACTTGTCGCGGAGACTTGATCGAGTGGCCAGGTCCTGGTTGGTCAGGTCCTGATTGGTCAGGTCCGGTGACCTGGCTGACACAGCTTGCCTCCGTGCCCCAGTAGGCTTGTTTGACTGGTCAAGAGTCAAGTATTCCACAGACGCGATACACATGGAACATTGCTGCGGCCCCACAACGACTCACTCTCCATTGTCAACGAGCGTAGTGCATCATCACGTGACCGAACCCACCGCCA